ATTGACTGACTGTCTCAACTCAAATGGTCACTGAAGTGTTCGATGGATATCGTACTTATATGATCATTATATTATTGAGCGTCTGTATCATCCTATTTTCACCATTTTAGGGATTAATATTGATTTGTCTCTGTTGATATATGCAGCTTAAACAAACTGCCCCAAAATCACTAACTAGAAGATCAGCTACATATCTTATGTGAAAATGCTTTCAATAGACAGGCTATACAAGCTGTTGTATTTTTGTTATGAGATATGTAGAAGTTTACAATTCGTGTAGTTTACAAACACCCAACGAACCAAGACAACAAACACTAAGGCTATACAAAATATTCTGTAATAATAATTAGATTTACAACGGTTTGGATCATCCCGTTATTGGTATTCTGATCACACAACAGTATAATATGGGATATGTATTTCGTCCTATTTGGGACGCGTCAGAGTTGATGTTGACTCCAGGGCTCAAATCCACTATTTTTCATTTCAAACTCTTACCCCCCCCTATCTATCTAGCTGTTGCGTCTGAGTAGCCACTCCCTTTGATATTTAAAGCATAATGTACTAGATTCGAGTTCAAACGTGAATATCAATCCTGGAATGCAAGTACATTCAGCAGACGAATTCAGAATAGAAAGAAACGTATGCTTTCTAAACTAGAATACTTCGTTATGCCGAATGAATTTACATTTCAAAAAATTTTCTTGAGAACTGATAATAATTAGATGACCATTGAAAATATATATAGAACTGAACATTTGTTTTATCATAGTTTAGAAGCTATGAGCAATGTGTATCTACAAACTAAACAAGCAGAACTTTTAGATCTCATGAACAGTGAAATGTTACATATTCAATAGGTTGGAATTAAAAACATTCATTCATTCATTCATACAGCACAATCAATGCTTATTGTTATTTAGTAAATCAGTGTCTAACTCTCAATTTGTTCAATGCCAAAAATTACAGATTTATAATTGTATAGAGTTCGGAGTAAGAATGGAATTGTCATTTATTACCGTATCTGGTTTTTAGTGAATTCTTCGACTGTTATCATTTTGTAAAAATCTTTTAGTTAGGGTTCTAGTGAAGACTGGATATATGTTTTGCCCTGTCATTGGACTCTACAGCAGATTTCACCCAACACCCGACCATAGATTGAACTCAAGGCCCTCAAGTCTTCAGATGAAGATATAAACATTATAAAAATAGGTTGGAGACCAATGGTACAGTTTCGAATTCATTCAGTTTAAGATGTAGCATGTGTATAATTCAATACTACTGATGATAGATGTTTTACTATTGACATGTTTGAAATCCACTTCGTACTAACTTTCATTACAGCTTCAGGAAAATCTTGAAATAAGTTACTAGTGAGCTAACTATTATAGTTTAGATGAAAGGGGTTCGTGGTGACTGAGTTCATTTATAGGTTGATTGATCTTATAATGAAATAACTGTTCAATTATCCCTAGTTTCCAATGTTATACCAAGTGAAACTACTCTGTGATAAATACAACCTACAATTAGAACTCTATATAGTTTGATTATTGATTGTATTTTCATATCATTTTTTTCAATATTCTATTCACTCTTAACTTTGTACTGCTTAAAATATAAGTATGAACAAAGACCACATTTTGTTGACGATCTTTATGAAATGGTAGAGAAGATTTGTAGCTCAGGTGGATGGTTTTAATGCACTTTTTTCTTTGAGCTGGATGGTTTGGTCGTGGGGCTTTCATCGTTCTTCTGAACGACATCATCAGTACAAACTTCAGATAAGAGTGAAGTTTTCGAATTTCTTCACATGTGATTCACAGCTTGTCCTTTAGACCTTGATGTTGATTGGTTCTTGTTGACCTTAAACCTGTCATTGTTTACTTCTTTCTTTTTGTTGTATCTGCCAATAACAGATTAGAGGTCAACAATAACCACTCAAGTTCGAGGTCTATAAGACAACACTTCGTTTCTACCAGAAGTTTGTGTTGATGACGTCGTTCAGAAGAACAATGAAGCTTCATGACTAAACAAATAAGGTGATCTAATACTACTACTCAGGCTTTTCCATTTATATTATAGTGTTTAGTAATATGTCAAGCTTATATGGGTTATTCTAGCTTCCGGGAAGATTGATTTATTTGTTCATTATGACTTACATTTTGACCTTGTCAATTATTCGCTTATAATTTTGATCGTTTTTATTTGAACGTATATGTGTCCATCATTTAATCTAATCACTTGTCTTTAGCTTATTTTCGTCCGACCGTAAATATTCAGTCACGCTCGACTAAATGAAATTGGCACATTTGCCTATTCCGCACTGCTTCTCCGCTTCATTTCTCTGATTGTGTATTTGGATCAACGAGTGCATGAAATATACGTATCCAAAAATTCGTTCTCGTATTTGAATTAGTCCATTATTCGCTAACGCGAATCAAATCGCTAATTATATACGAGGGTTGACGGCATGTATATTTCGTTGACATCATCATTTGATTTAACTGGAATCAGATAAACGAGTCATAAAAATATACCCTTATCTTAAATTTATTTGACTTAACTATTTTTGTTCTTATATGTTAAAACATGAATTGTGGTATATGCTACTTATGTCGACAGATATAGGTAGTATACAACACCAACCTGAAGTGGGAAACCTGGCAGCAGAAGGCTAAGAAGATCAAGTTGGAGAGAAGACAGAAATGGAAATAGAAAGGGATTTCGACTTGAAAGAATCATACAGAATATGGAGGACAAACGATGGAACTTGCAAATGAAGTATTCAATGCATGGTTCTCATATTTTAACGATTCGGTGTGTATTAAAATATGTTGGTTGTCCCCACCTGTATTCACATTAATTGAAGAATGATTTAAAATAATATTTACTCTATGTTTTTATTGAGATCATGAACCGATAGATATTAGACCACTATTGAAAACCTGGAAGTACTTAACAACCGTTCCGTGTTATAATGGGACTCCTGGGCAATGCGCGTTCACAACCTCGCGCGCTGGAATTGAATCCCGGACCTTCAGTCTCTCACGCAGAGGTTAACCTCTAGATCATTGAGCTAGCATCCAACGGTGTTAATGTCTAACTTCAATTAGAAGAATGCTGGGAACATTTTTTCTTATGATCGAACACATGCTCATCAGGTCTCTCGTAGACTTTGCTACTTTTACACCATCACGTTCGCACCAAGTAGGTTTCATTTATGACTTCACTGGTAATGAATGATCGCGTTATACCAGAGAGTGAATTAAAGTCAATATACAAATTAGTAAACGGGAAGTTAGTGGCCTAAATGTAGCTAGTTTGTTGCAAAATTGAATGATTTGGGTTTGATCGTTGGTAGAGAAGTGGGGTTATATTGTCGAAGGGTTCAATAAAAGGAATAAATGGTCATTAGTAAAGGGTTGTGGAGATTGTTTAGTTTAGATTGATATCATGAATGGATCAATGATGAAACCACCATTGAGAACCTCGAAGCACTGGACGGCCCTTTCGCCCTAGTACAGGAGTCTCAGTCGTGCGCACCCACGATGCCGCGTACGGGATTTGAAGCCATGACCTTGCGCATGAATGCCTAACCTCTAGACCACTAAGCCGCCACCCAACAGTGTTAATGTCTATTGTTTTATTAATATCATTTTATAATGTATTACGCAATGTTCTGGTTGAATGATATAATTGCTTATTGTTTTTTCACGCCGGCATCCGATGGTGTTAATGTCTAACCTTGTAATTTTGTTTAGTTATCAGCTTGATAGACGCACAGATTGCATAACAAGTTATTTCAAGATCTATAAATGATAACTAACACCCGATCAGTTACCAATAACTTGAATTTGGAACGAATATATATGTATCGCTGCAAGTCGTTACAATTCAATTCAGTACAAATGAATAGGAAATTAACAAGAAGCATAGAATAGGTAGTAATAATAATACTAATAATGTCGGTTATGGTGGAAAACTGAACTGGGATGATACTAAACTCATGATTTATGATAATGATATAAAATGAAAGCAGTTAAAACATCACAATTGATTTTATCATCACCCAACTTCATCAAAAGATTCTACTTTAAAAGTTCGAATGCTTTGATACAACTTATTCCAATACACGATAATCTCATGTATTAAAGTTATCTCTTCATTTGATCATTCCTAGTCTATTCCCAATTTATCATGGCATGAAGAGTAGGTGATAATCGAAGCATACGATAACTTTTTCCTTTTGTACTTTACATCTCTGAGGAACACAACCTGTATTTGCGAAGAATTATGGTTGATTGGAAACACAACTCCATAGATGAAATTTTCATTAACCATAATACAAAGAGATAATGATTGGATGATTTATGCTGATTGATTTAAACAATAGAAATAATTGTCCAAGTAAGATTATTCATACTACGTAGAAGTACGAAAAGAAATCTGAACATTCAGATTTATTTTTATTTATTTATATAAACATATAAACACTGGTGCAAGAAGGCACCAAATATAGATGCATCACATAAATCATTTGATTTGTGTGAGTGCCGAGATACGGCCTAGGTGCTCAGACCGAAGCAGTTGATTTTCTAAGAGAGCCACATCCAGAACCTTTGACCTAAAGGTCTAATCCACAAGGCAGTGGAGCAACGTCAGGAGATGCAGTCTCATGGTAGCCAGTGACCAACAATAGGTTCAAACACCATTTGTTCCTTCAGGATGCTGAGGTCCATGTGAACGATTGATTTAGAATTAGAGTTTTCTAACTCTCCTAGATGGACTTTCTGTGTCCACCAACCCCGTTAAAGCGCCGGATATTCGCTTTTCGTCATTTTAATTTCGTAAACAACAATAATACCACGAGAAGGCAGTGAGTAGGACTTCTCTTTGGAAGTGATTGTATGCACGTAGCTATTCAGATCTTACTGACTGTCAATTTCTTATTAAAGCATTACCTACTTATCGATAATCTTTTCATAAGAAAACAAGACAAGATATTTCTATGAAATATTCTTTATTTGTAAAATATAATAAAACATATCGAGATCAAATTATGATTGTCTCTTTATTGCCTAAGAAAAATAATCTCTACATATCAATCCGAATTACATATTGCACTGATTTCATTTACATAGATTGATTATTATTATTATTACTGGTGAATAAAGTTTCTAAAAACCGATTGAATAATTCAAATAAACGATCATCTTCTCCATTAAGAAATATTCTAAAATCAGCTAACATACCATCTTGAAATAATTCATCACCTGTAAGATGACCACGCCAACGTTTTGGTAACATATGATTCCATGCCCAAAAATAACCTATTGATTTTTGTATTGTAAAACAATTAGCAGTACAATCTGATGTTATGCATGATGTATCCATATTTATTGTACGTTTATAATCATCTTTTAAATGATCACTATTATGATCAGTTTCCTATGAAATTAGGACACAAATAAAAATACAACAGCTTTTAATTATTATAAATTAAAAGAATTAATTAGATTGTAAAACTTTATAAAACTCTACCTGTAGTTCTCTTCCTAGAGTTACTGCCGGTCTCAATCCCGGATAAAGGAGGAGGGTTGGGCATGGGGTTAGAGACTCTATTCCATAGAAAACTAACTTGCTAAAAACATGCTACTTCAAAAGATGATTAACAATATTACTTATTAACCTATAATATAATCTTGGGAAAAAAATTGAGGGTACCGAATGTTTAATATAAGTGCGATATCTAGCATTTTCGAGCATCTCTTTCTTTTCTTGATTTAGTGTGTTGATGTTCTATACAAGGATGTGATTTTGAATGACGATTTTATTTTAGCTTTAATAGTTGAGATCATGAGACAACTGAAGCTAGACTGCCATGGAAAATTTGGGAGCACTGGACGCCCGTTTCGTTCCACTGTGGGACTCTTCAGCATTGCACATCCACGATCTCGCCTCGCGAGATTGGAACCCTGGACCTATCAGTTTTAATCTCGCGTGGCGAGATCGTAGATACGCACTGCTGAGGAGTCCGATATTAGGACGAGACAGTCGTCTAGTGATTCCAGGTTTTTAATTGTGGTCTAACATCAATCGATTCATGATCTCAATCAACAACTTAACAATCTCCACGATCCCATACGTTATCTTAACCATGAGAAAAACTAACTGTTAAATTAAAAACAGCCAAGAAAAAAATGTTTTCCAATGAATGGTTAATAGATAAATACTACTAAACTTGAACAAATCTGATTCACTATAAACTAATACTCTTTATTACAACCACTATCTTATTTTCTGTTCACAATCCGTTGAATTTCATGAAAAACGGTACTTGGTGATTTACAAGATCCATATCAAAAGAAAAAGATATAGAACGAATCATTTAAGATATAACAGAATGCTTTAACTAATCTGCATTAAGAATTCTGGGTCTAATATTAAAGTCCTTAATTTACCAGTACTCAATACAACCTGGTAATATTACATAAGTTGATTAATCTTAGGTATTTGTTTTTACACTATTCAAATTTATTTTCATATATTGTACAGTACTGTAGTCGAAATATTTTTGTACATCGTATCACTGATTTGCAAGTAGACATCTTACAGATGGGTACTGTCAATGTCAGTTAACACATTCCGGCCTACATTTCTATTCAATTATTGAAACAATGTCGACAGTATTGTCATTAGTTCGAAGTAAATTAAGGGTCTGGAATCACAACGCATACTTCAAGTATTACACCCTAACTAGTATATTAAATGAACTCCACCTGGAGCCTCTCTGGAGCTACTGCCGGTCCCAAGCCCGAATAAAGGAGGAGGGTTGGGCATGGGGGGTTAGTGACCCCATCCTGTAGAAAACTAACTCGCTAAAAAAACGCTAACCACTATAATAAATGAGTAATTGATGAAGTGTGATGCGACAGATTAAAATAACACTAAATAAATTAGAAAGTAGCTATTATGAATGGTAATTCTTGAAAAAAAAAACTCATAACATTTTTTTACTTCAGATTTTCGACTTCCTGAAGACTCAGTAATGACAGAGAAGTTTCTTGTAGTATCTTCTCCTTGAACTTCTCCACTTTCATATGAAGGTATCATGGTAAATATACCTCCACTGCAATGTACATAAATCCATTGTTTTTGTGAAAAACAAGACGAACCGAAAGCCAATCGACCATGTAATTCATAGTCTAAACGATCTTTAACGCAGCTGTCATTAATAAAGCCAAATCTATGAATATCAAGATGGAAACATATTAAAACAGTGGATATGTTTTGATAATAAAATGAACTAAATGATATGACAATAAGCTACACTATAGCTAATTTTCGATAGTTGGAAGCAATCAGTAGGGATGTCCTGAATCTAGGTTTCGTAATTTGTACCACTCGTCATAAAAACATCAATCTTAAGGAAACTAATGCTTTCAATGAGACTTGTATTGAATTCAATTTTACGGATCACAGTTGCCCTAGTACGGCTGATAGTGCGAAGAGTCAGCTCTCCCGGCAGTTTAACCGGGTTGGTGGACACGAAGAGTTCATCTAGGGGAATTGGAAAACCCTAATTCCAATCCAATGGTACACGTGGGATCCAGTATCCTGAAGGAACAAATGGTGTTTGAACCTATTGTTGGTCACTGGCTACAATGAGACTGCATCTCCTGACGTTACTCCACTGCCTTGTGGTTAAGAACTTTAAGTTGAAGGCTCCGAGGTGTGGCCTCCTAAGGAAACCACCTGCTTCGGTCTGAGCGCCCGGACAGTATCCTAACCCTCACATAAATCGAATGGTTTATGTGGTGCATCTATATTTGGTGCCTTCTTGTACCGGTGTTTATGTGTTTAAATAATAAATAATAATAAAGATCATAGTTAAGATCGATATTCAAGATTTTCCGTTGTTTTTTTTCAGCATCAACTACTATATTTACTAATGTAATAAATTCAAAATGAAATGACAACTATTTGAACTATGATACATGTCAACTCTATGCATCATGTAATTGACACTTTTTATGGATTTCAGATGAGTGGTAAATGTACTTAGTCGATATGTATACAAACTGTCGTTGTCAATCAGTCATAATGAATGTAGATCATGGCGCAAATGTATGTTATCTGAAGTTTCTATTTATTAGATCAACACGATGAGATAATTCATTAGTGATGAGGTTATCTGCGAATAATTATTAATTTAACTTCTCCTATAAATTTAGTTCCATAGGCCTATATGTTTATGAACACATATCGGGTTGGTTAATAAAAGGTAATGTAATTTTATCATAGCTCTAATAAAGAAGAATCCTGAAAGATCCATTTTCAAGTGACTGAATATCCTGCCAAAGTGTAAAATAAATCAATCTAGCTAATCAATCAAAAAAAACATAAGTGTATATACTCATCTTTGAGCAGTATTGTGTGATGGACACTATTATTACCAAGCTGTTTAAACCGAATTCTGTGGAACAGGATCCAAACATTCGACCTATTTATCTAATGTCGAGTACTTTAAACAGCGTAACATATCAACATATGAATAAGTTCTCCGTTTAAGTGTAACCTTGAAAAAATCATTAAGGAAACACACAAATTAAAAAGACCAATATACACTAACCTTCTAAGTATGGAATCTTGAAAGAATCGAATGCAGGTTAGACGTTCTGAATGTGGAATATCTGTAATACATTTTGAAAGTACGAAAAGAAATATAAGTCCACTTTTTGTGATGATATTATTGATTATTAGTATTTTCAGGTAATAACTATTTGTTATTTCAATGGAGTTAAATTTGTTTTAGATGGACTACTCTAATAGCATACTAAGGTAAACGTATGATCAATGCTCTAGTTAGATGAATAACTGATGAAGATCAATCACATCTGGAGTAAGACAGATATCACCGATGATACTCATTAATTGTCATGGTACTTCACAAATTAATTGAGTTTACAGAATTATAACTCATAAGCTTGAAAATCTTGGCGATCCGATTACTGGCGGGGTTGCAGGTGAACAGAAGTCTCAAACTAAACGAATATAACTTCTTTTCAAGTTAGAAGTAGTCTATACTAACAATTAAAGTAATCTTAACAGTCAATCACTTATGCGAGATAGCGAAACAAACAATTAAAAGCAAGAAGGAAACATTCAAAACAATATTGAGAAGTTCGTAAAAAGAAACTCGAATTCTATGATCCAATTATCAGATTGGTCAATCAAAATAAGTGAAGTTTTGGCAGATATGAAAAACACATACAGACAAATATACATATAAACAAACACTTTATTTCTTGTAGACAAAAGTCTTGACGAAAATTATTAAGAAAAAGATGAAGCAATTTTATGTATTTCGGAAAATAATGCTCTAAACTATCAACTTAGCTGATTGATAGGTCATAATAGTAGTGTTTGTAGTCAGATAATGAAACAAAAATGTATGTAAATTTAATGAAGGACTTTTATTAAAACACTAATGATTGAATCAGAGATTATGACAGACGGTCATCTCAACTGTGAATACATTAAATAGGGTTTCATCAGAGCTGATTGTTGCTTTCATTTGATTACATCTCAACATAGATGACATTCTATAAGTAATAATTCATATCTTTAAATTTTCAAGAATTAATTTCTTACCATAAGAAATAGATATCAACCTAACTTATAGAGATGATAAAATCCTGTTTGATGAAAATGTCAATAAGCTGTAGTCTTTTGAACATTATGAATAACACACCCAAGGATATTTGGGATCCCATTCTCTTTATATAAATATAAAATGTCAAGATTAGATGTTGTAACGTGTGGACTGCAGATTTAATGCGCAGCGTTTTATCGATCGATTCAGTGACACGTAAACACGTAACGAACGACATAGAGTCCCGACTGGCCCTGCTTCGCTGTCTAGCCCAGCCAGTTGAGTCCAGAACGCAAGCCACAGCCTCTGATACATAAATCATTATATTTCAGACATACTCTATTTATATACCAAACAAACAGACCACATCGTACCATAAAATAGAAAATAACATTTACAAAATATTTAACAAGTGAAACAAATATCGACCAATAGGGAGTGTCCATTTAACGTCCAAGGACACCATTAGACTTAACACGATAATTATTGGTATATTCCTCTGCATCCCTAACACTGGACAGCATCAACATAGTAGAATTAGTTGAAGTTAGACATGAACAGCGTTGAATACCGACCAGCTCAGTGGTCTAGGGGTTAAGCGTTCGCGTGCGAGATTAATAAGTTCTAGGTTCGAATCTCGCGGGGGGCGGGATTGTGGATGCGCACTGCTGAGAAGTCTTACACAATAGGACGAAACGGCTGTCCAGGTTTTTCGTGATGGTCTAGCTTCAATTCACACATGAATTAGATCATTAAATTACAACAGAATGTATTCAATGTAAATTTTAAGATAAATTAAATGCTTCATATAACTGAATTCAGATTTTTCTGCCTAAATTGATAATAATTAACCAAATAATAAATAAACAAACAATTTGTTCTCCATTTAGAATATAAAAATTTCAATTCGAAAATGGAATTAAATATATGAGTACTTTTTTTCATTAAAGCAGATTAGATAGTCACGAATAAATTTAGATGCCTAAAATAAATAAGGATTAGCAAGATCCTCACAATACTGTAATAATCAGAAAGTGTAAATATTGAAAATATGGCCTGAAAAAAACTGTGTCCGTCAGGCAGCAACAACGTAGGAATTCGTACGTACGTACATTAGTTCAAGTTGCCACAGCACATTAGCACACATACAATTATCGATTCAAATCACATAGTTGTACAGGTAGTAAAAGTAGAAGCAGTAATCGGAAATATTAGGGTTTGAAGATGTTGTGCAAGGAGTATAATCCAGCGAAGTAAAGTTGGAAAGAGAAAAAAAACAGACATGAAGAATTCACAATATTAGAATTCGGGAGAACACAAAGAGTGGATACACCAGAGCCGTTGCAAACGATTTTGAGCCATATCATTCAACGTCTCTAACCATCAGCTGCTATCATCTCACCGATCCCAACCACGTAGTCTACACCTACAAACATCGCTCACTACAGTTCTCAGTCAATTCATGGATCTGTAACATCTTTCAGTCTGACCACATCCCTAGCTTCCTTCCATCATACACTATTCTATACCATAAAATATTGCACGTCGCGGTAGTCGGTGATTGGGCATAAGTTAAACGTGTCCCACCCATCTCAAATGATCAAGTTTCACTACTTCATCAATTGATTTGCCATCCTTACATAGTTACTACCCCTTTCCTAACAACTCCATTACTTACTCGGTCGTCCCACGATATACAAGCAATGCTTCGAAGACACCTATGATCGAGTACTGGTAACCTACGAATATCCTCTACTCTTACCGACCATGTTTCACTGCCATAAAGTAGGATGGAACGAACTGATGGCAGTAAACACATCCTTTCATTGGTCGAGAGATATCTCGCATACACCATAAATGACGCAAATTGGAAAAAGCTAGTCGAGCCTTCTCTATCCGTGTTCAGATTTCGTCACATACCAGAACACATGGGCTGATGAGATTCACAAGATAAGTGAAGTGGTCGACACGCTCAACTACTTCACTTCCTATCATTAGTTGGGGTGTCGATGCAACTCAATCCTGAAGTAACATTTTGCATTTCGAGGGAGAGAACCGCATCCCGAACATGCTTGCATTGTTGTTTAGAGTGGTCAGAAGACTATGCATTTCGTCAGCGTCTTCACCAAATAGAACTATGTCATCGGCATATTCTAGGTCGACGAGTGAATCTCCCGTAAAAGTTCAACTCCTGGAAATTTAGATGAGGAAAGTGTTATCTCTAAAACCACGTCGACGACAAAGTTAAACAAGAATGGAGAGAGTGGACAGCCATGATAAACACCTCTTGAGGTAATCAATCTTGATGAAAGTTCACCATAAGCTCTCACTCGGCCAGTTGTGTTCAAGTAGAGAGCGTGCATAAGGGAAAAAACTGTGTAAAGAGGTGTATATAAAGAAGTAACGGAACTAGAGTACATGAACTTGTACCTTTGTAACTAGTTTCTAAGTTATATCATCTAATGCCAACAATCGCTGATTAAGGTTATTATGTGGATCTCAACCAGGTAGTTGGCATCTATTAACATGATTCAGATTAACAGATAATGATTCTATGAACTGATATCACATTTTGATTTGGCTCTGTTTCCCTAGGATCTTGATGGAGTTTTTTTTCTCTGAGCTGGATGGTTTAGTTGTGGACCTTCTACCTGAAGTTTGTGTTGATGATGTCTTTCAGAAGAACGATAAAAGCTCCACGATCAAACCATACAGCTTAGAGAACAAAACTTGATCACAATCATCCACCTGAGCTACAAATCTTCTCCACCATCCTTAGCATCCTTTCAACTAACTCTTACATATTAGCGAACATTTAAACGGATAGTAATCATGAAACATTCACTGAAGAAGAAGAAGAAGAACAATAATAAGTAATACTTACCAGGAAACAAATAATTCAATAAATCTGTCATATTCAAAAGAGAATTTTCATATATCAATGAACTATTCTCATGGTGTGATTGATTATAAAATTTTTTAGCTACTTCAATTAATACATTGACATTAATAGGTAAAAATATTGGTTTACGTAGCGGATCTTTATCAGATAAATCATCATTTGACTGACCAAAAGGATAACATGGAACTGGGAAAAAGTGTAAATTAGCTGTACCAGCTTTTTGATACCATAATGATACCTGTAAGATAAGAAAACAATAAAATCAGTAGTTTTAATGAGAAAGATAGATGAGGCGATAAAACTAGTGGCAATAGTAACGATAATAAAGTCGATTGTCCTAGGAAAACGGTTATTTTGAAACTAAATTTCATTATAGAAGTAGAGAAGAGACTTTGAATGTGATCGTTATCGAAGCAATATAGTTAGTAGAGACTCAGTAAAGGGCGGCCTGCTTGAGTATCTTGGTTGGGGTCGGAGTGATTATCGTAACCAATGGTTGGAGACTCTGGGTGACATGCTTGATCATCTGGGCTACCTGTTCTTGCCATCTAGATATTTCAACAAGTTATCTATTTTTGTTTGTTTTAATGTATCATTATGTTTATTAATCGCATAACCTATTCTGCTGCGTTTCTGAAAAGTGTACAACCTTTCGTTGTCAAAGTTACAAAAAACTCAATAAGAGACAATGTGGTTGCTGGCAATATGCAGAGAAAAGAATGCACATTATTCAAATGTTCATTTACTGGACTGCTAATATCTAACTGGCGATCACTCAATATTTATCGTCAGGACCGACCAAGAAGAAAGAAACGGAAACTTGTTGAAATACTTTGCGTTGAGAATCCTATATTGTACCAAAAATATAATATTGGATAAAGCTGATAATTATAATAAATAATAATAATGAAGATGGAATAGAACAGTGACATTGTTTTTGATTGATGAAGTATTAGATTATTAGACATTTATAATCCTCTTAGTTCGGTGATTGTAGGTAGTCAAGAGGAAACCGTGAACCTAGGCCTTTTGTTAGCTGGCACACAGTACCAAGAAATATCCATAACATTCAGAGGAGTAGTGCGTCGATGGAAGCTGGACATAGCGCACATAAGTGTGATAGTTTGAGACATTACACGCCTGAAATATCCGGGCCGTGACGAACCGTACATAAAGTAGTGAGATGCTAATATAAAGAAGATACTATTGATACCCCCCTTGGTTTCTTCTCCTACACATCACAAAAACTAGATTCAAAGTTTCCTATGGATTATTTGTAAACACCTTAAATCAAAACAGTTCATAGGACAACTAATCACTCAAGCTCAGTCAGTCAGCTACAACGTAGGTCCAGGCACATATGTGCATCGGTCCAGGTTGCCATACCTGATGAGCACAGCAAGATGAAAAGCAGATTCATAGGAGTGGTTAGGTCGAAGGTTGCAATAAGGATATAGTATAGGAAGAAAGAATTAGTTCGTAGAAAGAAAGAATGAAGTGATTTTAGTCTCTTAGTTTAAGGGAAGACAGGGAGTGTATACACCGACGCCATTGTGATCGATTCTGAGCCATCTCACCAAGAGTCTCCAACCATTGGTTACGAAAGTCACGCGGACCCCAACCAAGTAGTCTGCATCTACCAACATGGCTCAGACTAGAAGTTAGTGTCTTCAAGCACTGATGCCACGTTTTGGTTTGGCCGCCCCTAACTTTCTTCCAACCATCCCTAACACCGGTTAGCATTGCACGTCGTGGTAATCGGTGTTCAGGCATACGTAATACGTGGCCCAACCATCTCAGTCGATGAAGATTCATAACCTCATCAACTGATTTACCATCATTCCCTAATACCCTGCGTCTAACCTCACTATTACTTACCCGGTGATCCCAGCAGATGCCAGCAATATTTCTAAAGCATCTGTGGTCGAATACTAATAGCTTACGGGTGTCTTCTACTCTTAAGGGCCATGTTTCACTGCCGTAAATTAAAACAGAACGAACTGCCGCGCAGTATACTCGTCCTTTTATTGATAGACGGATAATCACTCAAGCTAGCAGTCATATTACGACTTAACCAATAAAATTCAGTCAGTACTAAAAAACTAGACAAATGTAGCAATAGTTATTTTTCAATCTAAACTACTGAAAATCAGAAAACACTGAATAATATGAAACTGTTTAAGAGTTAGCATCTATAACTTCACTAGGCGTTGAATCCATTACATATCAACCTTAAATTAATTGCCTACAATCAGCAATTATTATCTATATTAATATTAACACATTGACTGTCTATCAACTTTTGTTTTCTTCCTTTTAGACAAGACAATCTTGAAGTTATTAAAACTGGATCAGATACAATTTAATTTACAATCCTCATGACACTATATTAAAGTAAATAAGTCAGATACATAAAAAGACATAAACAATTATATCAAGGTATTCACTGTTAAGAATATGAACAGTGTGTGTGAGTGAGTGAGTGAGTGACCGAGAGAGAGAGAGAGAGAGAGGAAAACCATTAATATATGCATTAAAACAATGAAATTTATTCGACCATAACTAAATTTTAATGTAAATTCATGTATTGAAAGGTCATGTAATACATTAAACAGGGTTAGCAACAAAACAAAAACAAAAAAAAACATGGTCATTATTTAGGAACTAAGCAAGACATTTTAATAAAACCAACATAAATAAATGAAATGTATTTCTTTTTTTTTTAAGGTTAACATTAAGATTCACTGAAGCTTGACAGTATCAAAAGCCTTTTAAAATTAAAAAAAAAAAACAAAATAACAAATGAATAACATGATTCTCTAAAAGAAGTATCCATCACGAACACAATCTATACATGAAAATAATCTCTATAGAACTCGGTAAAAGTATACATTAAGGATGAACTAATCAGAATAGAGAATATGACATGTAGAGTGGTTTTTGCGCAAAATTCAAATATTATATATGATGATTAATGGGAATACTTTTCACTGGTTGAAATCATGAGTCAATTGAAGCTAGACCACGATAGAAAACTTGGAAGCATTGGACGGCCATTTCGTCCTAGGATGGGACTCCTCAGCATAGCGCACCCACGATCCCAACCCTCGCGCGGTTCGAACCCAGGACCTATCAGTTTTGCGCACGAGCGCTTAACCAACTAGACCACTGAGCCGGCATCCAACGGCGATAATGTCTAACTTCAGCCAATCCACGAAGTTGCGCCACCGTACACCATTGTCTTCAGTGAGTTACTATCATGATTTCAACCAGTGAAATTTCTAAAAATCTCTACAAAACCCATTCTGGAAATACTTTTCTATACTGTTCAAAATATTTAAAATGATAGTGAAAAATTATGTTTTGCAGTCATAGACTGAATATGATAATGTTAAATGCATCAAATGAATAATTGTGTCTGACAGATCCATAATTCCTGACCCTAATCATGTGCTTACTAATGAGTAGCTTCGATAGGAAATTCCTGAAGTTCTAATGAGAAGCCGTGACTAGTGAAGCTAATCCGTGTCGGGTGTGAGGCCCATTCCCTGAATACGATGGAAAATGGTAAAGCGATGTTGTGGGTTAATTGAAGATAAACATTAATATAGTTGGATGCCGTCTCAGTGGTCTGAAGGTTAAACGTTCGTGGACGAGACTGAAGGTGCTGGGTTCGAATTAAGCGGGGAGGGTCGTGGATGCGCACTGCTGAGGCATCTCATACGAGGATAAAATGGTCTTTAAGTGCGTCAATTTTTTTAACATTGGTCGGTTCATAATTTCAATGAAGTACTACAACTTAAATTCATTTCTTGTTCGTTGTTGATTAATTTCCTTAATGATGCAACAACCATTTGATTCAATACTTAGAATCTCTTGGTAATCTTTAATTACGTTGTTAAATTAGGTAACACCATTTCATTTTCTGCACTTTAAATTCGATGCTTGAATAAGTTTCTAGAGTTCTAATAAAATGCCGTCAATGGTTGAAGTTCAGACATGTTAAGATTGAAACACAAAATAAGACGAAATAACTGTTTAACACTTACTCGTTTTTTTGATGATACATACATTCCTGTTTAAACTGATTAACAATTCAGTATTATTATCAGTATGGGGATTTTTGGAGATTGTAGTATTTGAATAGTTAAATTTATGAGTCAATCTAAGCTAGACCACCAGTAAAAACCTGAAACCATTGAACAGCTGTTTCGTCATAGTTTAATATTCCTAGAAAGTGTACATCCACGAATCCAAAACCTTAGGTCTCGCACGCGAACACTTAATCTCTAGACTACGGAGCCGGCATCCAACGGTGTTAATGTCTAACTTCGAACGATCGATGATTTTGCGCAACCCTTTATCCACTGTTTGAGATGGATAACTGTCTCACACCTGACACCGGTTGGACTCCGGTGGTTGCGACTTCTCATTAGAACTTCAGGAAATCCATCTTGAAGCTAATCACCAGTGAGTAAAGGATTATTATCAGTATGGGGATTGCAGTATTTTAGTTTATGAAATTCAAAATATAATATGAAATTTATACCATAGAAAATAATAATAATAATAATATATTAATGTTACTAATGAGAAACTACTTTAGAATGTTGACTAAACAAATTAACTAGCCAATCGTCGTGAAAAAAACAAGATCCACTTTCATTTGAAAGTGAGTACATTTTTTTGGTAAATGGAAAATAATAGCATTTTTAATAATAATAAAATAATAGCAAATATTATATAGTTAGCTATAAGGACTATAGAGACTTCTACTTGAAGTTTGTGCTGATGATGCCGTTTAGAAGAACGATGAAAGCTCCACGACCAAACCATTCAGCTCAGAGAACAAAACTCCAACAAAATAGGGAGTTTATGGTAAATGTTAAATTCCATAATATACAACATAAACTGATCTTTGAAGGTAATAATTAGAGATATTCGACAAGAATCCCTAGGACTTAGTTACGTGTTGTTTGACACTTATCACTAAGATGTACCTGTAATCTAAAGGGGATTGATAATGTTTGGAGGATTTAATACCATGCCACTCAGCTTCATAGTGCCAGACATCATGATTGAGATATTAGGGTTGGAAATGACTTTTTATAGGAATGAAATGTGTTTGCAATTGATTGTTCATAATAATTTTCATTTTCAGACCAGTATTTAGGTGTAATAAACCTTTAGACAGAAAATTTTAAAACATCCTTAAATGTATGTTCTGTCTCATGCGGACGCGACCCTCTAGGGAAGTTTTATTTATCTCCTTCTTGAGTCGGGAGTGGTTTTACAAAATCAAGAGAATGAAGCAGACGTCTGGTGCCTAAACCGAGTTGCTGGAATGGAGGATCACTCTAGTGTAATTACGAGATCTTGATTCTAAACTGGTGGTGCAAGAGAGTACCATGGTCATATCGAATGATGCGAAGACAATTCGGTCAACAACTACTATCGAACAAGATCTTCCTAAACTATATTAATGCATCGTTGATTAGACCTTTAAATCAAAGGCACCGTGTAATTCTTTACGCTAATTGATTATTTGAGCACATAATTAGTATCCCGGCCCATACAAAAGTGTAGTGAATTCTTTTGACGTTTCATTGTACTACAATTCTTGTCATAAATCACTAAATGACAACTAACAACAATCAACTGTACGCACGAATTTATCACTGATAGTCTTCCATCAAAACTGAAAATCACAAATATCGAATATCTATTTCTAGTGAGATAGATACACGAAAAAATAGACTGACCAGTTCAGCCATTCGTCCGCCTGTAACTACAAGCCATTGAAGTTCTATAGAAAAAGCACAAGTTGGATGATAATTTGCATCATATACACAATGAGCCCATTCAACTGGTCCATCATTATTTGGTCCATCCAAATCACATAAACAAGTTTTACGAAGAACTTGATCAATTTCTAAAATACAATATATTGCACTGAAATTACAGAAGATACTTCAAGGCATAATAATAATAATAATAATAATAATAATAATAATAATAATAATAATAATAATAATAATAATAATAATAATAATAATAATAATAATAATGTCAATCAGCTGGTCATAATTAACGTAGCACCAAATTAGCGCAAAGAGATGAAATTAGCATGTTAAGTTAATGAGTCAAAACAATGCAGTGACTATTATACCGAGAAAAACCAAACACTGAGAATATAATTCAAGAAGATCAAGAAAAAACGTATTTATGGAGGAGTACTGAGAGTCAAGATCTGAAGCAAAGTAAGAAATACATGAATCTCAACCATTGTGATAGATCCTAAGCCATATCAACCACTGATTGAGGTTATCTTGAGAATCTCAAACTATTATTATTATTTGAGCACATAGATATTGGTACAAGGAGGCATCAAATAGATATGCATCACATTAATCTCATTTGATTTATGTGAGGGCTGTGATACTACCTGGGTGCCCGAACCGAAACAGGTGGCTTTATTAGGAGGGCATACCTGCAACCTTTGACCTAAAGGTCTGATCTACAATGCAGTGGAACATCGTAAGGAGATGCGATTCGATGGTAGCCGGTGACCAACAATGTGTTCATACGCCATTTGTTCCTTTGTGATCGATTCTGAGCCATGTCACCAAGAGTCTCCAACCGTTGGTTACAATAGTCACGCCGACCCCAACCAATTACTCTGAATCTACCAACATAGCTAAGACTAGAAGTTAGTGACTTCATGCACCGATGCCACGTTTCAGTTTGGCCGACCTTAACTTTCTTCAAACCATCTCCAACGCTAATCAGCATTGCTCTTCGTGGTAATCGGTGTTCAGGCATACGTAACACGTGGCCCAACCATCTCAGTGGATGGAGATTCACAACCTCATCAACTGATTTACCATCATTCCCTAATACCCTGCGTCTTACCTCACTAATTACTTATCCGATGATCCCAGCAGATGTTGGCAACATTTCTAAGATATCTGTGGTCAAATACTAGTAGTAGTTTACGAGTAACTTCTACTCCTAATAGCCATGTTTCGCAGACGTAAAGTAGGACAGAACGAACTGCCGTACAGTATACTCATCCCTTAATTGATAGGCGGATATTTCGCCTTCGCAATAGGTCATATAAGTTGGCTTCCAAGATAAGTGAAGTTGTCAACGAGTCCGACTACTTCACTCTCTATCCTTAGTTCAAGTGTTGACGCAGACCAGTCCTGAAGCAACAACTTGCATTTAGAGGGAGAGAAGCGCATTCCAAACATTCTGGCATTGTTGCTTAGTGCTACCAGAAGACTATGCAATTTATCATCGTCTTCACCAAATAGGACTATGTCATCTGAGCATTCTAAGTCGATAAGTGCACCTCCTGGAAGGAGATCAATATCCGAGAATTCAGTCGACGAGAATGTTATTTCCATCAGTAGGTCTATGATGAAGTTAAACAAAAATGGGGAAAGTGGACAGCCTTGACGGACACCACTTGAGGTTGCAAAAGTAGATGACAGTTCGCCATAAGCTCTGACTCGACTAGTAGTGTTCGAGTAAAGAGCCTTTACAAGGTTTATGTACTTCTGGGGTACGCCTTTCAATGACAGACACTGCCACAGAATCTGGCGGTCTACAGATTCAAATGCTGCTTTTAAGTCGAAAGAGACCACCATTGTCGGACGCCGATAAGTATGCCTGTGTTCTAGAATCTGACGAATGGTGAATATGTGGTCGGTGCAGCCACGACCAGGTCTAAAGCCAGCTTGGTTCTCTCGTGTTTGCAGTTCACGAGTCTTAGTTAGGCGTCTGATAATTATCGAGGCTAGTATTTTAGATATTATATTAGTTAGACTAATCCCTCTGTGGTTGTCACAGGATGATTTTGACCCTTTCTTATATATTGGGACGATAAGTGATTGTGACCAGTTAGATGGAATTACGTCTAACTCCCAGATTTTAGCTAAAATATTAGTCAACCTAATCGCTAAAATTGGACCACCATCCTTAAAGACCTCTGGAGTTCATCCATCTGAACCAGCTGCTCTCCCTCGTTTCAGATTAGCTATAGCCTTTTGAACTTCGGCTAGAGTCCAAGGACCTACTTCAATGTAAAGTAGCTGAAGGCCAGCTGAACGGCTCCTTAAAGTGATCCATCCATCGTTCTAAATGTCTGGGCTGAGAGTAGATAAGATTGTCGTCTTTCTTCGAGATCGACAATAAATAAACCAGAGAATTTGTTACCCCCTTGACCAGTTTTATACAACATTGAAAAGACTGCAGTATAGTTCGATTCTATAGCTCACTTTAATAATATGCTTAGTCATAGAGGATGAATATTTGTTATATGTTTTTATAAGGTTAAGGTAATCTAGTTGATAAAACAAAAACCACATGAAAAATGTGTTAATAGCACAGAGCAAACACATTTTTCACATGTTAAAAGTTACCCAAAATGAAGGATAAGAGATTAACAACAATTCTGGGTCCGAGTCCTGCGTGTGTGATCGTAGATATACACTATTTAGGAGTCCAAAACTAGGATAAAATAGCCGTTTAGTGCTTCCATATATTCAATAATGACCTACCATAGATAGATTCATGAATTCAACTATCATCAACAACAACAACAACAAAAAACATATTACAATCTACAAAAATCCCCCTCCTTCCTCCAAAAAGAATAAAGTTAACTTGAGTTGAAAAATTATCCTCATGAAATATCACATGATGAATAACGATTTCATATTTTTTTCCTCTTTGAAGTAAAGTCATGTTAAGCAACAAATTATGTCCTGATGTACTGTGAATAAATTTTTCAGACATTAACGAAAGAAAGAAAAAAATTCCCACTTTATTTACATTCTCATTACATTTTCTTAGATAAAATGGACATACGAAAAAAAAAAAGAAAAGAAGAAAAAAAGAAGAAAAAAGAGGAAAAAGAAACAATATCCCATACATGAATATCAATTTTCTTTAAAATGTAACAGATCACGATAAACCACAAAATGAACTCAAATTACAAAGTATAATTAAGTAGTTAAAATAAGTAAGATATCAAAAGTTATTCCCTTGATTTGGTTGATAAATTTTTAATCATTGAATTCATGAGTCGATCTAAGCTAGACCACTAGTGTAAACCTAGAATTATTGACCGACCGTTTTGTCATAGTTTGGGACTCTTCAGCAATGAGCATATATGATCCCGAACGCGGGACTTGAATTCATGACCTTGGGTTACGAGTGCGAACACTTAGCCTCTAAACTATTGAGTCGGCATCCAACGATGTTAAGGTCTAACTTCAATCGACCCATGATTAATTTTCCTTTATTTTGAATAGTAATTCAAAGTAATAATTTGATACGATAGATGAATGATTGAAAAGTATTTGATTTTCAATTAGTAAATTGTAGATTCAAATCTTGTCTTACTGATTTCCTTTTGTTTGTTTTTTATGTCAATCAAATAATGTCATTAGGTCTCACATAAAAAGCTGAATAAATAGATTAAAACTAGTACTTTTCATCATTTAAAACTACAATGTGCAATATACGTGAGATTAATTATCATCATTTGTGAGATAACAACTCACTGAAGACAATGGTGTACGGTGGCGCAACTTCGTGGATTGGTTGAAGTTAGACATTAACACTGTTGGATGCCGGCTCAGTGATCTAGTGGTTAAGTGCTCGCGCGCGAAGCCAGTAGGTCCTGGGTTCGAGCCCCGTGTGGTGCGGGATCGTGGATGCGCACACTGCTGAGGAGTCCCGTCCTAGGACGAAACGGCCGTCCAGTGCTTTCATGTTTTCCATGGTGGTCTAGCTTCAATTGACTCATGATTTCAACCTGTGAAATTTCTAAAACTCTCCACAAAACCCATCCTGATATCATCATTTACTATTCACTCTAGTTGATAAGTGATATTTGGAGGAAAGTATGGAAGAGCTCTCTGACTTTATTTTATGAATCGTAATAACTTGGAATTAGAAAAACATCATTCTGTACAGTTTTACTAATTAAATACCATTAACACTGATCATAACCATTTTACTAGCTATATAAGAATAATTGAGGCTACTGTCCACTGGTTCATAAACTTAATACAGAGTTTAACAACAGTATTAATGATTATTCGACTGCTATTAGTCTAATGTAGGAATGTTTACGAAAACTTATTAATCAAGTATAGGTTTAAGCACTCGATTTTGAGGAGAGTAAGGAAACTGACCAGATAATTGAAATACAGTAAATGGGACAGAGTATGAATTTGAAACTCAATGGTTGAAAGTCAAACGCTCTAACTACTAAGCTATAACTTGCCCTGTAGAAGTATAAACAATGCCATGAAAGAGAAAAAAAGTGATGCAGAGGATTTGCAGCTCAGTTGGATGCATTTATTGGTCATGTATTTTTTTTAGCTTAATTCACATAGAAGTGAGTACTTTAGTTATTACACAAGTATTACGTTAGTTCTTTTGAATGAACTAGCTTGTAATTGGCTGTCTTTGTTGACTTTATTTATCCTTTTGTTCACGCTGGCTGTCTTTGATGGTTGACCACTGGCCTTATGACTAATGGAACCTTTCCATAGATTCGGTCTATGTCAGTGTTCTAACATAATCTATAAAATCACCTATACCAACTGCAAGGAATATTAACTTGAACAAAATGGATGGCACCTTTGTCTAAGCTAAAATGAACACAAATTAACTATATGACGACATGATATGTTATCACTGATATCACTACATGCAGACAACAATCGGCGAGACTAATTTATGGACGACCTTTGAACAAATCTCAATTGACCTTAAGAAATATTTACCAATCAGCAAACAGTCAGTATGGAGTAAAAATATATACAAAACCAAGGAAATAAAGTGGATACACTTCTTATACGTGGTTTAAAAACGTGTTAAGGTTAGAAAGAGGTTCAAAGGTTCTAAAATTGCAATGCATGCAGTAAAGGAAATCATCTATACGGCTACAGAATAGTCGGCCTCTGAAGCCATGATAAAGTCTCAAAAACTCTCAGCCTCGACAACCTAGTTTCAATATTGTTTATGTGCACTCCGGTTGTTGAGTGCACATAATGCTACTTGTGGATAACGACACGATGCACATAACCAAGCCTATATAGGAATCTGTATGCTCTCCAAACATCCGTATATATTGTAGTACCTGGCTGCAGCCAGTGTTACTGGTGGTTTTATTATCCAGTTCGTGATAATTGTCATAATTTGCCTTAGTTAGGAATTATATATGGGGTTTTCATCACGAAGTGACATCAGGTATAATGCCAGAAATTTATTTAGCCAAATCTATTATCTTATATCTGATCGATTCGTCCAAAAACTATAGCCTCGCCGTTTTATTTGTTATAGCTGCTCGATTATCACGTTTTGTACACAATTCCCTGTGAACCGATCGTACGTTAGCACTAAGCACTGAAGTTGATGCCATAGCCTTGAAGTCTCTAAAACGCCTCTGATTGGCTCGTCCATAAATTAGAGTCTCGCCAAATCATCTAATTAAAAGTATACATCACTACCAGAAGTGTAAATAAAATAATCAATACTTACCTTGAAATCCAGTTTTATCCGGTATTCCAAATAATGTAGAAATTGATGAATATGTTAACAGACCATCATTAAAAAAACTATTCAATTCATTCACATGTTCAAATTTTACTTCTGATGTAGATAAAGATGGACAAGAATTATTTGTAGTAATAGGAATAGTAGTAGTATTAGTGGTAGTAGTAGTAGTAGTAGTTGCTGTTGGTGTTGTTGTAGTTGTAGTAGAAAAAGAGGAAGATGATATAGTTGAAGTATCATTCATTTCATTCAATATATCATTATTATCAATATTACTGTTGATATACTTTGAATCAAGAATCCGTTGTCGTTGGTGTTGTTGCTGGTGGTGATGGTGGTGGTGGTGTTGTTGTTGTTTCATTTGATATTCATTAGAACCATAATGAACAATTGATATTTCAGCCCATTCATTTTGAAATACACTAGTCCATTTTGTTGTATCATTTAAAAGTTTTGGTAAATAATCTTTAGGAAATTGTATAGGTAATTGTTGTAATAAATTCAAATCTATATTAGATAATGTTTTGAATAAATGATTTGATATATTCATATGAGATAATAATGAAGTATTAGTAATTGTATTTGTATAATTAGATGATGTAATTGAAGTTAGTGATACAATAGTATTGATAGGATTACTTATAATAGTCGAGGTAGTTGCAGTAGTAGTAGTAGTAGTAGTGGTGGTGGTAGTGGTACTAATACTATTACTATTAGTAGTAGTAGTAGTAGTAGTGGTAGTATTAGTATTAGTAGTGATAGTAGAAATAGCAGAAGCAGATAAATTATTCAATAGGTTCGAATTAGCATTCAAAGAATTAGTATACGGTAAATTTGTTATTGATATTGTATTGTTTGTAGAAGAGTAACAAGATATAATTAAATTATTTGATGTACTTAATGATGTTGTTGTTAATGTGGTTGTAGTCAATGGAAATATTGAAGATGATGATAAACCAGATATTGATTGTGAAGTGTTGGAAGAAGGTGAACTTGTACAATCTAATCAAGAACAGATATATTAAGTTGGTACAATTAAATATGAATTATTGATCAGTTATAAACAATTATAAATACGATATGAAAGATTAAATCTTCAGTCTGTATATTTCATTAGATTGATATTTGATACTTGATTGATACTTGGTTGGGGTCGGAGTGATTATCGTAACCAATGGTTGGAGACTCTGGGTGACATGCTTGAGCATCTTGGCTACCTGTTCCTGCCATCTAGATATTTCAACAAGTTATCTATTTTTGTTTGTTTTAATATATCGTTATGTTTATTAATCAACTCCGCCTGGAGTCCCTCCGGGGGCTACTGCCGGTCCCAAGCCCGGATAAAGGAGGAGGGTTGGGCATGGGGTTAGCGTCCCCATCCCGTAGAAAACTAACTCGCTAAAAAAACGCTAACCAGAAAAAATTATTCAAACCTTTTAAACTCTGCCCTGGGAGTCAGAAGATCTTCATTTAGAAGAATTATGACGCCTCATGATGAAAGCCGAATCCCTTCGGAAGTTACGAGGCCGATGCCCCTTCTGACAACCAGAGCGACCATTTATTTAGGTACATGGAATGTTCGTACAATGTGGGACACCGGAAGAGCCTTCCAGATTGCTGCAGAAATGAGAAGATACAACCTAGAGGTACTTGGGATCAGTGAAACACATTGGACACAAGTTGGACAACAACGACTAACTACAGGAGAGCTCCTGTTATACTCCGGCCATGAAGAAGAAAATGCACCACATACACAAGGAGTTGCATTGATGCTGTCCAAACAAGCGCAAAATGCACTTATAGGATGGGAATCTCATGGACCAAGGGTCATCAAAGCCTCGTTTAAAACAAAGAAAGAGGGCATTTCAATGAACATCATCCAATGCTATGCGCCTACCAACGACTACAATGAAGACGCTAAAGATCAATTCTACAATAGGCTGCAGTCAATAGTCGAGAAGTGCCCAACAAAGGACCTGACCATTCTGATGGGAGATTTCAACGCCAAGGTTGGAACGGACAACACCGGATATGAAGACATCATGGGACGACACGGACTGGGAGAAAGAAACGAAAATGGTGAGAGATTTGCAAACCTATGTGCCTTCAATAAGCTGGTCATAGGCGGCACCATATTCCCACATAAACGCATACACAAAACCACATGGACTTCACCGGATCACTCTACACAAAACCAAATCGACCATATTTGCATCAACAAAACGTTCAGGAGGACTATAGAGGACGTGAGAACCAAGAGAGGAGGTGATATAGCATCAGATCATCACTTACTGGTCGCCAAGATGAAATTGAAACTCAAGAAGCACTGGACAACGGGGCAGACAGTATCAAAAAAGTTCAATACGGCCTTTCTCCAGGATACTAACAAACTCAACAAATTCAAGATAGTCCTCAGCAACAAGTTCCAGGCCTTTCATGATCTACTCAATAGAGAAGGAACTACTGTGGAGAGCAATTGGAAGGGGATCAAAGAGGCAATCACTTCAACATGTCATGAGGTCCTGGGTCACAAGAAGCACCACCACAAGGAATGGATCACTGTTGGTACACTGGATAAGATTCTAGAAAGGAGGAACAAGAAGGCAGCGATCAATACCAGCCGAACAAGAGCAGAAAAAGCCAAGGCACAAGCTGAATACACGGAAATAAACAAACAAGTGAAGAGGAGCATCAGAACCGACAAACGTAAATATTTGGAAGATTTAGCAATGACGGCGGAAAAGGCTGTAAGAGAAGGAAACATGAGACAATTGTATGACACGACAAAGAAACTCTCTGGAAATCGCCGCAAACCAGAACGACCAGTGAAAAGCAAGGAAGGCGAGGTAATCACCAACATTGAAGAGCAACAAAACAGGTGGGTAGAACACTTCAAAGAACTCTTGAATCGACCAGCTCCACTGAACCCACCCAACATTGAAGCAGCACCCACGGACCTCCCAATCAATGTTGGCCCACCAACAATTGAAGAAATCAGCATGGCCATCAGACAAATCAAGAGTGGCAAAGCAGCAGGACCGGACAACATCCCAGCTGAGGCACTAAAAGCAGACGTAGCGGCAACTGCACGGATACTCCACATTCTCTTCAATAAGATTTGGGATGAGGAACAAGTACCAACAGACTGGAAAGAAGGACTACTGATCAAAATACCGAAGAAAGGCGATCTCAGCAAGTGTGATAACTACAGGGGCATCACTCTTCTCTCAATACCGGGCAAAGTCTTCAACAGGGTATTGTTAAACAGGATGAAGGACTGCGTAGACGCCCAACTTCGTGACCAACAGGCAGGATTCCGTAAGGATCGATCGTGTACAGACCAAATCGCAACTCTACGGATCATTGTGGAACAATCAATTGAATGGAATTCATCACTCTACATCAACTTCATTGACTACGAAAAGGCATTTGATAGCGTGGACAGAACAACACTATGGAAGCTTCTTCGACACTACGGCGTGCCTCAGAAGATAGTCAATATCATACAGAACTCATATGATGGATTACACTGCAAAATCGTGCATGGAGGACAGTTGACAAAGTCGTTCGAAGTGAAGACCGGTGTCAGGCCAGGTTGCTTACTCTCACCCTTTCTCTTTCTCCTGGTGATCGACTGGATCATGAAAACGTCAACGTCCGAAGGAAAGCGCGGGATACAATGGACATCTAAGATGCAGTTGGATGATCTAGACTTCGCAGACGATCTGGCCCTTCTATCCCAAACGCAACAACAGATGCAGGAGAAGACAAACAGTGTGGCAGCAGCCTCAGCAGCAATAGGTCTCAATATACACAAAGGGAAAAGCAGGATTCTCCGATACAACACAGAATGCACCAATTCAATCAAAATTGACGGAGAAGATTTGGAAGATGTCGAAACCTTTACGTATTTGGGCAGCATCATTGATGAACAGGGTGGATCTGATGCAGATGTGAAGGCGCAGATCGGCAAAGCAAGAGCAGCATATTTACAACTGAGGAACATCTGGAACTCAAAGCAACTGTCAACCAACACCAAGGTCAGGATTTTCAATACAAATGTCAAGACAGTTCTACTGTATGGGGCAGAAACCTGGAGAACTACGAAAGCCATCATCCAGAAAATACAGGTGTTTATTAACAATTGTCTACGCAAAATACTTCAGATCCATTGGCCGGACACTATTAGCAACAGCGCACTGTGGGAGAGAACAAACCAGATCCCAGTGGAGGAAGAAATCAGGAAGAAGTGTTGGAAATGGATAGGACACACATTGAGGAAAGCACCCAACTGTGTCACAAGACAAGCTCTCACATGGAATCCTGAGGGTCAAAGGAAAAGAGGAAGACCAAAGAACACATTACGCCGGGAAATGGAGATAGACATGAGAAAAATGAACAAGAATTGGATGGAACTAGAAAAGAAGGCCCAGGATAGAGTGGGTTGGAGAATGCTGGTCAGCGGCCTATGCTCCATTGGGAGTAACAGGCGTAAGTAAGTAAGTAAGTATGTTTATTAATCGCAAAACCTATTCTGCTGCGTTTCTGAAAAGTGTACAACCTTTCGTTGTCAAAGTTACAAAAAACTCAATAAGAGCCAATGTGGTTGCTGGCAATATACAGCGGAAAGAATGCATATTATTCAGATGTTCATTTACTGAACTGCTAACATCTAACTGGCGATCACTCAGTATTCATCGTCAGGACCGACCAAGAAGAAAGAAACGGAAACTTGTTGAAATACTTTACGCTGAGAATTCTATATTGTACCAAAAATATAATATTGAATAAAGCTGATGATGATAATAATAATGGCTAAGAATCGATCATAATGGCATAGGTGTATATATTCTATATCTTCCCTTAAACAGTGAAATTAAAATAGTTTCGTGGTTGGAGGCAGGACAGTTCACGATATAGTGTGACGATCATCTAAAGATGCTAGTAAGGACTGTTTCCCTTGAAATATTTCCAGACTACACCACTAACGAACTCTCACTAAAATTTGAGGAACTCATTTAGTAGTAAAAAGTTCTACGACGAAATAGTTTCAAGTACCTTCTGACCTACAATATTACTCTAACTGAGATTAGTCCGTGACGAAATAATCTCCACAAAACCCTACTAATTAATCAATTAATTATTAAATAAAACGAGGATAATTAATATTGTCCAGATTTCTGGTTTGAAAATTATTTTCGGAAATGATTTAAGTCGACAGGAGAACGATTGAAAGTTTTGAAGCATTGAGTATGTTTGTCTCAAGATTACTCTAGCAGTGGGCAATTGTTATTATCCTAGCTTCGAAAAGCATAACAGTTTTAACTAACACATATTTATAGGCAAAGCTTAATTTCATAAGACATAGACTTGAAAATCGAATGTTCCACATATTGCACATTAAACAAACTATTTATTTGAAAATTTAATTAAACTCACTTGTATTATAGACAAAGATGGATGGTGACTCTCAGTGGATTCCATGACGCGTGGTTCGTCTCCTATTTGGGACTCGTCAGCTGAATGTGCCGTCCATCACAGAGCTAGGTGGATAACGCAATAGCGTTTAAACGAACGGCACTGGGTTCGAGTCCCGGAGTGAACATCAACTCTGGGATACAACTACATTCAGCTTACGAGTCGCAAACAGGAAGAAATGCGCGTCAAATTGGATTCCACTAATAGCCACCATCCATCTTTACTTACAATGCTTAAGACTTAAGGCAGTATCTCACAGGATACATATATGCTAATAAGAGGCTGATCAATTACACTCCTAAACATCAATGAGAAGATTCAAACAAACAATATAAAATGAATTAAACTCACTTGTATTTGGTATATTCAATTGAATCGGTGTAACTGGAGCAGATTGAATATTCATTTCACTATTATCTAATGTAGATAGATTAAGTGAAGTATCAATTTGTGTATTTGTTAATTGTTTTATATCAGGAATAAGTAATGTATAAAAATATGTTCCATAAATAAATACATGTTTTGAATTCCCTGAAGTATGACATATCCAACCAGCTTCTAGCATTTGCTAAATAATATAAGGAAAATATACACAATGATAACTTGATAAAACGAATCATTATAAAGAGAATGATTTCATAGTAAATTTTAAGTGTACAGGTATTACAAGAAGATTGCTTCATGAAATTGTAGAAATCTTCATTGATTAGATTCAAGAAAAAAATATATGCTATTCATGTTTTGATAAGTAACCACTACTTTATTTATGTTGAAGTAGTTCGAAGAAGGTCATCTGAAAATACGTCATTACATTATTCAACTAATTTTTCCTTAGCTTATGTATCATTGATACTTATAAAATTATTAGTATAGGGTTGTAGAGATAGTTGAGTTGTAATTGAGATCATGAACTGATCAATCAACCTAAAAGCACTGAACGGTCGTCCTAGGATCGAGTTCCACATGCGGGTTCGTGGATGTGCACTGATGTGGAGTTTTATACGAGGACGAAACGGCTATCCAGTGTTTCCATGTTTTCATTGGTGGTCTAACATAGATCAACTTATGATCACAATTATAAAATTATCATTTAGAATATACAAGAATTATTCAATACATAATCTGAGATGGAAAGGTTTCAAAATTGTAAGTATCAGTGTCAATTCATTCTTTAATATAACTACGAAAATTTCTTATTTACCTGTTTACTCCGTGTTTCAATATCAACTTTAAATGATACATTAACAACAGTCGCATTAATTTTAGTAACATTTGTTTCACAAAACTATTTTTTTTTTAATTTTCGGTCGATTGGATATTGAATGTATCAAATTACGATAAATTACTTCTAGACATTCTTGAAATTTTAGTGAGCACGGAAATGTCGGGTGTGGAATAGTTTTCATTGATTACATTTGGTGATCGTAGCATAATATTGGAAACTGATTGTATTTGAAATTTGATAAAAGAAAGCCGGTTAAGTGGTTTTAATGAATAAGTATTCGCCTTGAGACTTGAAAGTCGAGGGTACAATCTCTTACTAAGCGAAACTGTTATTCATTACTGCCTGGTTTTCAATGGCACATTAAGTAAGATTTTAGTGACCCTGTATTTGACTCCAGTTCGATCGTATGAATGATTGTTACCGAAATATACATATCGGGTACCCTCGTATATAATCAACGACTTAACTCGCGTTAATGAATAACGGAATTAAATAAGTCAAATATGAGAATGAATTTTGTATACGCATACTTCACACAATCGTTTATCTGGACAGACAATCAAGGAAACGAAATGATGCACGGTGGAGAAACCGAGTGAGCTAACTCGTTTTATTAATCAAGCGTGGGTCAATATTTATAGTCAAACAAAAAGAAGTTACAGATACATGATGAATGGGGTAAGTATTTAACATACACGATCTCATAGAAAACAGAGTTAATAAGCGAATAAATGACAGGGTAAAAGTGTGTCCTGAGAAGAATAAATAGATCGATCTGTCCAGAGGCTAGAATAACCTATGTAGGCCAGCACCAGCCCTTACAAGATCAATTTGTGGTAAATACAACCTACGACTGTTAAATATGTCCAATTTCGGTTTATGTTTAAAGTATTTATTAAGCAACTGAAATAAAACAAAACAGCCGCTACTGATGGGTCCTTATGTTCTACAAATGATTCGTCCATTTAGTGTCAATTCAGAATAAAAGCTATTTTTATGATTGGTCAAGGATAAAATAAACAGATATAAACGCTTAGTGATTTCCAGAAAAGTATTATATTGAAACAAACTGATAATAACTTAAGTTTTAAAATAACAGCACCCAAATGCTCTGGTACGACCGAGAGGGGGAAAAGTCAGATCTTCCTCTCTAAATCCTCTCACGTGGCCACGTTCATACAACCCCTCACAGGGAAGTCCTACTTACTGCCTTCTCGTAGCACTATTGTTGTTTACGAAATTGAGAGAACGAAAAGCGAATGTCCGACGCTTTGACCGGGTTGGTGAACACGGACAGTTCACCTAGAGGAGTTTGGAAACCCTAACTACAAACAAATGGTCCACATGGTCTCCAGCCTCTTGAAGGAACAAATGGAGTATGAACACACTGTTGGTCACCGGCCACCATGGGACTCCATCTCCTTACGATGCTCCACTGCCTTGTAGATCAGACCTTTAAGCCGAAGGCTCCGGGTGTGGCCCCCTAATAAAACCACCTGCTCCAGTTTGGGCACCCGGGCAGTATCCTAGCCCTTACACAAATCGGATGGTTTATGTGGTACATAAGTATTTGGTGCCTCCTTGTACCAATATTTATGTTTAAATAAATAAATAAAGACAACATAATTAAGATTACAATTTGAAATTTCATACTACCAAATGGTTTTAGTTACTGAACCACTGAAAGACAGTAAATATTGAACGGTCGTTTTGTCCTCATAAAGAAGTTCTCAAGACTGAGCATCTGTAACCATAATAATGACTGAATTTTGAGTTAAAATCTAAGTCTACATTTTTAATTTCAGTTAAGTCCTGATTTTGCACAACCATAGCCCACTGTCATGACTGATAGGACTGAACTCCATCGGTCACTGCTTCTTATTAGAACTCTAGGAATAATCTTGCAAACTTGGTCACTTTTAAGCACATGATTGTTAGTGTAAGGATAGTCTGGGTGATTAAACTTCAAATTCAACAATTTTCACAACACCCTACAACAATTATAAGCAGAGATGGATGAATGGTGGCTAATAGTGGAATTCAGAATGTGCGTTTCGTTTTATTTGTGACTTGTCAGCTAGATGTATCATACATCCCAGAGTTGATGTTCTGTTCAATCCAGAATTCAGACCCAGTATCATTTGCTTCAAACACGATTGAGTTGTCTATTTAGCTACTAAGTGAACAGCAACTCTGGGATGGATGGTATATTCAGTTGATGAGTCATAGTAAAACGAAACGGCCGTCCAGTGCTTTCAGGTTTTCCATGGTGGTCTAGCTTCAACTAACTCATGATCTTAACCATTGAAATAAAACAGAATAGTAAAACAAACAATAAAAATGACCTTATAATAAAATTTCAGTGTTCTAATTCATTAGTGAACTCAATACGAATTTAAACATAATACACATTGTATATCATATACAGATTTTAAAATTCTAATTAACTCATTTGCATTAAGTTAACAATCTTCATTAAAAATAATAAACTACTTGTAGATAGAAAATAGCTTGTTCAATAGTTGTAATATCAGGAAACCATTTAATTATCCAATTGACTGCATCAATAGAGATAAAAGTATAATTAGGAAATGCATCAGTTGTAGTCGCTGAAATGAACGGTAGACCATTGCTAACGGAGACATACAAAACCAAAAAAAAAAGAAGAAAAGGTATTAATTCGAGGAAAAACGAGTTATAAGTATACACAAGCACAAAAAACCATGTGTTAGTTACAATGATTTAAACACTGAATGGAGAATAATCTTATATTTGTCAAGTCCTTTAGTGTTGACCAAATTCTATCGTTCAAATTACAATGTGAACACTAGAATAAGTGTCTCAGTATAGTGTGCACTAAGATCTTAGGTAGTCAGAGGTATTTGAGAAGAAACACTGTTTGATCAAGGTTTTGTCTTTGTTAGCGTTCGTTAGAAAAGCTTGTCTAGGTTATACAGAGTATTTCAGTGATAACTCCTCAGAGTGTGAAAATGAGATTGCAGATAAACACTGCTCATGAAACATTGGTCAGTTATAGTTTCCTACCAACGACCACTAACTAATTAACATCTCGGGACTTGCTGGTACATATAGTTTACGTAAACGTTCAATTCGAAAATAGTTCACTTCATGAGTTGACCCTAACTAAATGATTTTTTTTAAATTGGGGTACACTGAACACAGCTGTTTTATTCTCATAAAAGATTCCCCAACATCAGACACCTATAACTTTACCACGTATTGAAAACAAGAATTTCAGGCTTATTCATTCATTTATCATCTAGTGTAGTCTTATTTCATGATATCGAGGTCAAACGTAACAATCTCAATCACAATTAAACACAGATGATCTATTCAATTTAATTACTAAAACGATTTATTCCTAATTATACAAATGTAACTTATTCACTGCATATAAGTTTATACAATATGAATGGATAAATGATGAGATTAGCTTGAACATCAACTGCCGAGATAAATACACTCGAACTCCAATAAATGTACCATGATGACTGATTAATTTATTGAACATTAATCATTCCCTATGAAAATTCATCAGAAAATTTGGCGACGAGGTTGGCGCAAACATGGATCCTTCAAAAGTGGAACTATTGCTCGAGTAGCAGCTAAAACTTATGCAGATGTTAGCAGATACAAAACTTAGGCCTAACACTCAACCAAGCACTTCTAATCCTATTACTACTGCACCGTCAGTTGATGGTATTTTAATTTTCATATCTGAAATCACAAGTCGATCCAAGATGGACTATCATTAAAAAGCTGTGAGCACTGAACGGCCGTTTTGTTCTGGTATGGGAACCTTCAGCAGCGTGCACCCACGATTCCCTGCGCGGGACTTAAACCAGGGACTTTTGGTCTCGCGCGCGAACGCTTCTAGATATTCAGATATCCGCTTAAGACAATGGATGAAGGATTGCGCCAGATCATAAATTGATTTAAATTAGACATGAACACCGTTGGATGCCGGCTCAGTGATCTAAAGGTTAAGCGGTCGCGCACAAGACCACAGGTCCTAGATTTACGTTCGTCGTGTGGGATCGTCGATACGCACTGTTTGACAGCTTGACTTAAATACCTCATAATAACTTCAGTTTTTTATTGGGTGACCTAATTTTTACAGTACAAAGTTGCTTTATAATGAATGATAATTAAAATAAATAACTTACTCATTATCAACCATCATTAACGCTACTAAATAATAAGTGATATTAGTATTAGAATTAAATAAACTTGAATTAAAAATGGAAGTATTTTGTGTTACTTGACCAGGATTTGTATAAAATGATTGATCTTCAGTAGTTTGATATGATATTCCTGGGATATTAGGCAATGAAGTAGTAGAATAAAAACTATCTATATGAACAATATTTGATGAGTTGTTGATTGCGTTTCCTCGATTAATTAGTTGTATATTATAGTCACTGGTTTCATTCAAAGAACCAGTTGTGTTAATTGATGTAATAATCGATGGTCGTGTATGAGTGACTGTAGTTAATAGATTAGTTTTAGATTTACAATAAGAATTTATAGTTGTATCACTTAAAATAGTTGCGTTAAAACTGGTTGTTGTTGTTGTTGTCGTTGTCGTCGTAGCACCACGATGAAGATCAGATTTTTCTATAGTAGACTATAAGAAATATATAAATAAATGGAAAGAATAAAATTTCTAATAGACTGGGATAATTGAAAAAAGAAACGACATGAATGTTAATTATACAATAGTAGGATATAACAACAGTCGGTCATAAAGATTTAACTCAATAGTTCATCAATTATAGGTAATTCATGATCATTTTTTTAAAAAAAATTCACCAAGAAACCAACCGAAAACATTAATGATATACTTATACTGTTGACTAACTTTGAGATAAATTATATAATTTCCAGTAAGAACTAGTGATTAAGAGATGAACTCAATTAGCTTTATGCAGTAAGATGCTTAGTACTGATGACACATTGAATGATTAAAACACTTTATCAGAATGGGGGGTTTGTGGAGATTTAAACTAGACTACTAATGAAAACTTGAAAGCACTGGACGGCTGTTTAGTCCTAGTATGGGACTTCTTAGCAGTGCTCATCCACGATCCCGCACGTACGACTCGAACCGGCTCAGTGGTTTAAAGGTTAAGTGTTCGCGCGCGAGACCGAAGGTTTTATGTGCGGGGTCGTGGATACGCACTGCTGAGGAGTTCCATACTAAGACTAAACAACCGTTCAATGACTTCAAGTTTTTAATGGTAGTCTAGCTTATATCAACTCATGATTTCAATTATTTAAACACTTCATCATAAACAAACTGAAGTGAGAAGTATGTGTAAAGGATTGAATTTCAATTTATTAATCTAAAGGTGAGAAGCTCATCATAAAACTTAGCTAAGTCGGAAGTGTACATACTGGTAAAGCTCGCGCGCGAAGCCAGTAGGTCCTGGGTTCGAGCCCCGCGTGGTGCGGGATCGTGGATGCGCACTGCTGAGGAGTCCTATACTAGGACGAAACGGCAGTCCAGTGCTTCCAGGTTTTCAATGGTGGTCTAGCTTCAACTGACTCATGATTTCAATCTGTGAAAATTTCTAAAAAATCTCCACAAACCCCTTCTGATAATAATCATCTGCTCACTAGTGACTGACTTCAAGAGATACTCCTGGAGTTCTAGTGGGAAGCCGTTACCAGTGGAGTACAACCAGGTCTGTTGTGAGATATCAGCTCACTGAAGACAATGGTATATGGTGGCGCAACTTCGTGGATTGGTTGAAGTTAGACATTAACACCGTTGGATGCCGGCTCAGTGGTCTAATGGTTAAGTGCTCGCGCGCGAAGCCAGTAGGTCCTGGGTTCGAGCCCCGCGTGGTGCGGGATCGTGGATGCGCACTACTGAGGAGTCCCATACTAGGACGAAACGGCAGTCCAGTGCTTCCAGGTTTTCAATGGTGGTCTAGCTTCAACTGACTCATGATTTCAATCTGTGAAAATTTCTAAAAAAATCTCCACAAATCCCTTCTGAGAATGAAATAGCTATTCAATGCTTCCTAGTTTTCACTAATTGTCTAACTAAAAACAATTCGTAAAGTAAATTATCTGACGTTAAAGAAAAAAAGGGGGAATTAATCCCCAATACAACTAATAAAATTGATTTATTTTTCTATATACCATATATATATAATAACCGAATATTGAAGTAACCAAGTCAGAGAAAATGTATACAAAACTGAACTTGTATGTTCAATTCTAGTCCATATTCTTCTTTTTAAATAAAACAATAAACAATAGACTAAAACACAAATCGATTATTGTACTTAATAATTAACTGAACTATTCAATAACAATAGCTGGCAGTAAACAATATTAGTTGTCGGGTTATTTAGACAGATATCTCCAACACTCTGTAGGGTATTTCTTATTGATGACTATGTATATATATATAATAGTTCCTATTAGTAAATAACTAACCAGTTTTATTAAGGCCAACTTTGAAGAATTAGAAATAGGTAGTTTACTGATACAGGGAACAATTTATTTATTAGGGGTTAGTAGAAGTTTCATAAGTCTTAAGATGATAAATTATTCACGATAATAAGTTAGTCAATGATATCAAATTTACTATCATGGACACTGTGTGAGATCAAGTCTAGGCTATAGGTGGCATTACTTAATTATTTAAACACATAAACATTGGTACAAGGAGGCCACGAAAAGGTATGTGCCACATAAATCATTCGATTTATGTAAGGGCTAGGATACTACCCGGCTGCTTAAACCGAAGCAGGTAGTTTGCTTAGGAGGCCACAATCGGAGCCTTTGACCTAAGGGTCTGATCCACAAGGCAGTGGAGCAACGTTAGGAGATACAGTCTCATGGTAGCCAGTGACCAACAGTTGGTTCATACTCCATTTGTTTTCTCTGGATCCTGGAGCCTATGTGCACCATTTGTTTGGAATCATGGTTTGCCAACTCCCCTAGGTGAACTTTCCGTGTTCACCAACCCGGTCAAAGCGTCGGACATTCGCTTTTCGTTCTCTCAATTTCGTAAACAACAATAATGCCGCGAGAAGGCAGTGAATATGATTCCTCTGGAAGTGGAGATCTGACTCTTCCCACTCTCGGTCGTACCAGGGCATTTGGGGGCAATCTAGACTACTAGAATGACAGAAGTCAAGCGTGGTAATTGTATAATTTATATTACGAGCTGACTTCAGTTAGATAGCTATGGAAAATCAGGGAGCAGTATACAGCTGTTTCGTTCCAGTATGAAATATACCTTAGGAACTCATATTCACAACCCATCAGTGAGCGAACGCAGGAACTTCAGGCCTGACCATGAAAGATTAACCTGTGGATCACTTAGCCGGTAGCTAACGGCTTATATTTCTAACTTCAGTGGAATCGCGATATTTCACATTTATTGCTTACTTCTATCGGTTGGTTAAACCTTATCACCAATATTTCACATTCAGAAGTAGAGAAACGAATGCTCAATATCTTCGTATTGATTAAAAACCATTCAGAAACCTTTATATATAGTATTTTCAATATCTTCAAAAAATAGATTCATTTTATCTGAGTATTCTTAGTTAAAATTAAATTGAAGGTAGACCACTATAGAAAATCCGGAAGCACCGGACAGCCGTTTTGTCCTACTGTGGGACTCCTCAGCAGTGTGCATCTACGATCCTGCCTTGAGAGATTCGAACCCAGGACTCATGGTCTCAACTATCAAAATTACTACAATATCCACAAAAACCCCTTCTGATATTAAAATTAAATCTCTGAATGAAAGATCAAACTATGAAATGTCAAATAGCAAAATCAAGAACAAACTTAAATTGAAAAAGCAAAGTTTATATCCTTGTTAAACATCAATTAAAATACATTTTTGTATTGATTGTTTGAATTTTCCCATTGATGTTTAGGACTACAATTGATCAATCTCTTTTAGTATATGTGCATTCTGTGAGGATTGCCTCGATATCACCTTAAGTCACAAGCATTATAAGTAGAGAATGATGGTTGTTATCAATGGAATCCAGGATGCGTGTTTCGTCTTATTTGTGACTCATCAGCCGGATGTGCCAGCATCCTAGAGTTGATACAGGTACTCAGTCCTAGTGATTATCCCTGATAAATACTGATTAGCACAGAACTCTATTATATAAACTGTATACCTTATTATGTTTCGTCATTTTTTTCGATTACATAAATAATTCATCTATTATTTTTGGTGGAGTTTTGTCCTCTGAGCTAGATGGTTTGGTCGTGGAGCTTTCATCATTTTCCTGAACGACATAATCAGCACAAACTTCAGGCAGAAGTCAAGTGTTCGAATTTCTCCACATATGACTCACAGCTTATCCTGTTGACCTTGATTGATTATTGTTGACCTTTAAGCTGTTATTGTTTACTTTTTATGAGAGATACAACCAAAATAAAGAACGAAACAATAACAGATTGAAGGTCAACAATAATCAATCAACATTGAGTTCTACAACGCAAGCTGTGAACCAAATGTGGAGAAATTCGAACACTTTACTTCGACCTAAAGTTTGTGATGATGATGTCGTTCAGAATAACGATGAAAGCTTCACGACTAAAGTGTCTAGCTCAGAGAACCAAACCACTAAAGTCGACCAACTGAGCTACAATTCTTCTCCACCACCTCATGTTTGTTTTCTGTTGTTGTTTTTTTCTGCAATACTATTATTCCCAGTGATTGTTTGATTTCATAATTATCCAAAGGAAAAAAACTTAATTATAGTATAATGAATCATGAATAGACAACTTACTTGACGATTTAACTTTCGACTTGTTATGGGTGTACGTCGTATCCGATTAATTGATTCAATAAAATGAACAAATTTTTCACAAGTTTTTTCACGATTTATATTTACATAATCGGATTCATAAACATCACATTGAATTCGTTGACCAGTGATATGATTACTTTAATCATTCATATTAAATGAGAAAAAAGAAGGGCAAAGAAAAAGAGGAAAGAAAAGAAAGAAACAATCAACAAATCATATGAGTAGTATATAAAAGTGAACAAAGATGATAAAATGAATTTTGGTGGATTGAATGTTATTTTCTTTTCTTTCATCAATTTGATAAAATATTTTGTTCTTTGAATTGGGTGATTTAATCGTGAAACTTTCATTGTCTTTTTCAAAAACATTTAAAAGAAAACATTAAACCCAAATATCCTGGTAAGGCCGACGGTGAGGAGAGTCAGCTCTCCCTCTCGAAATGCTCTCACATGGCCGCGCTCATATAATCACTGACAAGGAAGTCCTACTCACTGCTTTCTAGTAGGGGGGTGTTGCTTACGAAATTGAGAGGACGAAACGCAAATATCCAGGAATTTAACCTGGTTGATGGATAAGGAGAGTTCACCTAGGACAGTTGGAAAATCCCGACTCCAAACAAATGGTGCACATGGGCTCAAGTCTCCTGAAGGAACAAGTGGTGTTTGAACCTATTGTTCGTCACCGGCTACCATGAGACTGTATCTCCTAACGTTGCTCCACTGCTTTGTGGATTAGACCTTTATGTCAAAGGCTCCGGGTCCGACCCTCCAAGAAATCATTTGGACGACTCATTTGCATGATGATTACATAACTCTCTCAAACTAACATAACTGCATAACACAAATCGCATTATTGGCACATACAAGATTAAGCGAGAAGCCTAATGAAATATGAATAAGTATTTCATTTAATAGAGCACAGATTAAACAGTGTACATATTTACCTAATTAGCTTTCGAGAGATGGCTTAATAATATTGCCCAGTTTCCTAAACCGGAATAGGCGGGGAAGAGTTCGAACCTAGGAATAACTGACTAAAAACTAAATGCTTTAGCTATTAATACAGCACTCCATTTTAAGTATTACTTTCTACAATATGTTGAATGACATTCAAACAGGCGAAAAAGCTGCTGTTGAAAACAACAATGAAAACTTCACTCAGAGAACATAACACAACCAGAAGTATCTATTGAAGCTGAAAATCTTTTCTGTCATTTAGAAATAGCACATTATAAACTGGAAATTACTGGTCATATGATAAACCTGGCCTATGCTAAATAATTTGACCAGTCATACAAAAATCTCACGATTTTCTCAAGATGAACCCAGAGTTTTTAACTGACTTATTACAATTTGTCGTTATATATGTGAAAGAAAAAGAACAGGTTAATAAACAAGTACTAATGTGTAAACAGTCTTTTGTACTTTAAGCTAGTTAGATCATATCAAGGATTATGACATCATCATTTTCTTTCTTAACATAAGTAATCTTCTTTCCCATTGGTGATTGATATTCTCATTACGTAATGAAATCAACTAACATCGATCACAATGATTTCGACCAAACGGGAAATTGTTACATATAGTAGTTTCAATGTAAAGTGTAACGTTAACTTTAACCTTAAAATCAAATCTAGTAAACCAGAAGCATAAATGTATATTTAAAGAAGTTGAAGCTGTGGTTTACTGGTTAAAACGTCCAACTTGCAGCTGTTACGCCCCAGCGACCAGGGAGTATCCCTAGCCCTCATACTAAGATTGTGGTTTATATCAAAGTACCTAGTAAATGAGCTAATTTATCATATTTCTTAAGATTTAATCAAGTAGAGATTATATTTAAACATGGTTATAAAAATAAGTGTTTAACTTGGATATACTTTTCATCTTGAATTGAGAATACTTAATAAAGCTTTTAAGAAAAGCTGTAAAGGGTACTATTCTATTTTCATTATCGATTGTCAATCGCTACCCATTCACTAATATGAATAATAATCGGAGACTATTAACAGTATGATGATCGTACTAATTCTCAAGTTGATCGAAATTGGAAAATATTGACTATTCGATTGGAACTTAATGTCTAAATAGTATCACCGATTCTGTGTAGGGGTGTTAAGCGTTTGTACCATTGATGCTGAAAGCCAGGATCAAATAGATATCTAATGCTTCATATATTTTAATTATTCTTCATCCAATATCTATCTTCAAATCATTTTTATCATACAGAATTTACATTTAACTTACAATGGGTCTATTTTTTCATAGACGATTCTATTTGGGTATATTTTTACAACTTACAGGACTTGGATGAGATAAAAACACAATTGGATCTGAAAGGTGTTCGATTTGAAGATAGTTCACATTACTGATCGACTTTAGATAACAAAGAAACCACTGAAGACAGGGGATTATGGGAAAGATATTTATCCCACGACCTCTCCAAGAACCGTGTCCAAGACCTAATGGATTTACGGTAACTATGCTCTTTAACAAAAGTCATGTGTTGACTGGTAAGAAACTTTGAGACATATTGCTGAAGTTCTAGTGACAAGACCTGACAGGAGGGTTCAATCATAATGACAATTATTACTGGTGATAATCGGTGATAGTAATCCACTGATCGAAGCTAGAAATATAGACTACTAGATGTTCGGATGTAATGTATTCACCAAGAAACCTAAAGGTTCTGAGTTTAGTCTTTATGGAGCCTTCGGTCGGCACCATCAAGAATTCCTATACAAAGTTGAAACATCTGTCCAATATCCCTTCATTTTTAATGGTTCCCCAGGTTTAAATTGAACAACTTAAACAAGCCTCTAAATTTAATAAATTCAAAAACTTTCTTACATCCCATAGTATATTATTGGATACTGATAGATTTATTTTTAAGAGATAGGTTCTAGCTTTATTGAATACTTACTCACGGATAGCTTCAGCTAAACGCCGAGTTTCATTGCTGAAAATCGGTATTACAAAGAAACGACTTCGCCAAAATTTGAGATTCTAAAAACAAAATAAATTTAGGATAGAAACAGTAAATAGAAATTGATAGTTTACATTATAAACTGACTTTATTTCGAAAATCATTGGGGACTAGAGAGCATTCGACAATTATTTCATCCTGGTATATGGTTTTTCATAAATGTCCAAGCACGACTCCGTCAGAAATCGAGCCAAAGACTTTTACATCAAGTGGTAAATACTTAAGCGTTAGACTACTGATTTGGTATCTAAAGTTACACATTTCAATCTAATCATAATTCCCCATGTAATGTGACGATAATCCAACAAAACAAAGATAGTATAAACATCTTCAGGAAGAAAATGTGAACCTCTTATGTCTCATTATCAACGTGCAATATTTAACTCTAGACTGTTCTCCTCGCATTGATGGATCATCTGAAACCGATTTACAGTGAGAACAGAAAGTACATGAAAAAGTGAGCACACAGTTCCTCTCTCTCTCTCTCTCTCTTACTCATACATATACAAATACCTTGTTTGTCTGAAATTTTGATTGTAAACCAAAAACAAAATAAAATACCAGCAACAGTATTGAACAGTTCCATTGTGTGTATCCAAGTGTACTCTCTTAATTTTATACTTATACATTAGGTGAAATAGAAATCAAATATTGATCACAAGTCATTTGAAACATGTTTCAAACATGAATCTGGTAATAAGTATACATAGTATCACTACCAACAGTATGATTATTATTACTATGATATTGAAAATTCAGAACAACAACAAAAAACGGAAGATATAAATGAAGCTTGTACATAGACAAAACATGTTTACTACATTGATTAAATAAGCTGATTCACTGAAATAACGATAAAGGTTCAATTGATGTTGGAATAGACGAAAATGCGGTTAGAATAACAGTAAGAGATTATATGGAATAAAAGAGAAAGAATGTTATAAACGTTAAAAAACACGATACAATCAATATTTTTTAAATAGAATATATGGATTTTAGTTAGGAATGAAATCCAGAAACTGCGTTACATCCTTGTTGAAGCACATGAACTAAATGTAGAAATAATACTCTTCAGAATAATCTGGTTATTGTGGAGTCTACTAGTGGATAAAGTTATGATCTGCCACTTACGCCTGCTACCTCTTGTGGAAGACAATAGGCCACATAACAGTATTTTCCGTCGAACTATGTCCTGGACAATCCTTTATTTTCATGTCTGATTCCAATTCTCGACGCACTGTATTCTTTGGCCTTACACCTTTCGGTTTCCCTTCATGATTTCAAGTTAGCGCTTGCCTAGTGATGCAATTCGATGATTTCCGTAATGTATCTCCTTTCCACTACCATCGTCGTTTCCTAATTTCCTCCTCAGATGGAAGTTGGTTTGTTCTCTCCTATAGTGGATTGATGTTGATAGTATCCAGTCAATGGGACATTCAGTATCTCGTGTAGACAATTGTTTATAAATACTTTTACCTTTTTGATGATGATTGTAGTAGTTCTCCACGTTTCAACTCCGTACAGTAGAACTGTCTTGACATTTGTATTGAAGATTATCACTTTTATGTTCGCTTGCGGACAGTTGTTTCGAACTCCATATGTTCTTCAACTGTAGGAATACTGTCCTTGTATTGCCAATCCCCACCTTTACGTCTGCATCAGATCCTCCTTGTTAATCAATGACGCTGACCAGGTACGTGAAAGATTCCGCATCTTCCAGAGCTTCTCCATCAAGTGAGATTGGGTTGGTGTTCTTCATGTTGTATTCGAGGATCTTGGTTTTTCCCTTGTGTATGTTGAGACCTACTTCTCTAAGAGCTACTGATACACTGGTTGTCTTGACTTGCATTTGATGGTGTATGGGATGGAAGAGCTAGGTCATCTGTGAAGTTCAAATAGTCTAGTTACATCCAAGCTGTTCATTATATTCCGTGCTTCCCCTTATGATCTATTAGTTTAATTGGATCGGACTTTCTCCCCATATAAACGCTAACATTTTATTTCAGTCGGAAAAGAAATTGGTCAATCTATTTTATGGACATATTATGACATGATAGTATAGTGGTTTCAAGACTCAGTTTTCAATTACTAAGTAGGAGATCCGAAGCTCTTCACAGAAAATTCAGTTGAGGTATTGGAGAGGTATCATTAGTTCTTACTAAAAAAAATCAGATCATTCTACTCTCTGTATATGAGAAGTAGGTTTCAAACGAAGTTCGCGCAAAAGCAGACATTCAAAGCTTAACCCAAAATGTGAATAATAAGGATCAACTCTAAAAGAACTGAGAAACGTCGATCCGAATGAGTAATGTATATAGGTTCTGCATATTGAGATAAATAAATGGAATATAAACCTGATATCTTCGTTTTCTTGCATGAAACTGTGATATCAGATGTTTCTTCAAAGTAAATTGCTTCATCAATCAATCCTACACCTCACTTCCAAGATCATGATTCACAGCTCTATCTGTGCTAATTTCAGTTGCTTGATAAGAAATATTTAAGTAAATGGAATATACCCAATAAAAAGCAATGGTATGGCGAAGGGTTCTCTTTTCGGCAAATTCATTTTTAAAGCTGTACAATTGCAAATATATATACTTTTTTTCAGAATGATAATAAGTACAGTAATAGTGATAACAGAATTCTGTTAAACATAGTAACAGTGAGGTAGAACAAACAAAGGTATTAAAAACAATAATTTTTAGTTAAGGAAACTAATAATAGTTTTATTGTTAAAGACATAGCAATGAGATCCCCTCTTAGTCCTTTACAAGCAGACTGCTTCATGATCAGTCTAAAAAATAACCAACTTCAAAGGACTATCGACAATTTCCACTTGTATAAAAGGTACGTTGATGATATTTTTATCATTCGTGACAACAAATATGATTTGAGTCATCTTTTAAAGGCATTTAATAAGTCGTCTATCAATAAATTTCACAGTTGAAGTTGTAAACAAACAAAATATTCACTTTCTTGATGTAGAAATGACTAGAAAATATGACGGAACTGTAAGATCTATCTACAGGGAACCACATAATAATCTCCACAAACCCTACACTAGTAATCAACATGCGCTCACTAGTGACTAGCTTCGTGAGGGAATTCTCGGAGTTCTAGTGAGAAGCCGTGGCCAGTGGAGCTAATCTATGTCGGGTAGAGACAGGTATCTACCTCAGTACAACGGAAGTTGGTCGCGCAATTTCGTGGATTGGTTGATGTTAGACACTATCACCATTGGATGCCGGCTCAGTGGTCCAGTTGGTTATTATTATTTTCCCTGACAAAAAAAATAACGTTTTAATGCCTTTGTTTGTTTTACCTCACTGTTACCAGAATCTTATTGTCACTAAAATTGTAATTATTATCATCTTGAATTAATGAGTATAGATATTTGCAATTGTACAGCTTTGAAAATGAGTTCGCCGAACAAGAGAACTTTTCACTGAATCGATGTTTCTTTATTTAATAACTTTTTAGTTGCCTACTAGTCCCCTAGAATCACATACACTTTAAACCTGAACGATAATATGGAAAGAAGCATTACGTTCAAAGTTAGTTTATGTACAGAAAGCAAAAAGTATTTATAGGACCGATTATGACTTTGAAATAATAAAAGCTTCTGGAAACATTCTAAAATTGGTAAGATAATAAATAAATTTCCGATCAAGATAGTGGGAACACAATCAGTAGTTTTCTAAAATTTTCCACGAACTTTCTAATGAATACTAACTTGTAGACGCATTTACAACATTTTCCTGGTGTCACAATTGATTGATCACTGGGTGGTGATCAATGTCATGTGTGTAAAGTTCTTATTAGTGCAGTTCGAATGCTATCGACCATGCTGCAATGTGGCCACCAGTCTAGGTGACTCGACACTGCGTGCAATATGTTGAGATCAGATGGTGGTTGGAGGTAGTCAATAGGAAACCCTGGATCCGGGTTTCGTGCTATTTGGGACTCGTCAGCAAGATGTACCTGTAATCTTAAGGGAACTGGTGTTCCCTGACGGATTCGATCCGTCCGGTGTCTCCGAAAACATGTTCGAGAAGTTATCAGGTCTTCTAACAATAACAACAACAAAAAGAAAACAGTTGTTCAATGTCCTTATAATAGTTTGAAGTGGCTTTTCAACCGATGTCATCTATGTAGTGTGAACAAGTTGTGCTATTTTCAAGTTTGTTTTATAGTGGACATATTGTAAAATAGCTTGTAATAAAAGATTTATGATTATCACAGTATGTATAATTGATGAATGACACTTCACCTTAAAATGATGCTCCCTCTAATTATATAATTTGTATATACCGTATACTTCTACATTATTAACATTAATATCATAAATGTTCGCCAAAAAATAATTTATGAATAGCATTTGTTCATATGATATACGCCAATAATGGTTTAAAATACTCTCTCCTTTCTGTATTAACCTAACAATACCAGCAAATTAGAGTGAGTGAGGTGAACGAAGACTTCAGTAGGACCTAAACTAGTTATTTGTCCGTTTAAGTTCCTGTACAGTTTTACATTAGTATATAACATGTAGGAAGGTAGGAAAAACATATGAACATTGTCATTAATGATAATAATGATGGTGGATTAAAATATGGATGAGACAAAAACTCAATTCATGATCAACATATAACTTAATATGAATTTGTAATCGTACAAATGATCATTAGCATGATAAAATGAATTTAAAAAGATGAATAGTACAGAAATCAAAATAATCTAGAAGCGATGATCAATAATCGAGAACAACCAGGGAGAATATGGTTTGAAAAGATAAAATAAAAAGATATGAAATGAAGGACTATTATATTTTAAGATAAAGAATAAGATTAAATCTTAGAGGATAGAAGAGTGTTTAAGTAACGTTATTCATCAGTCAGTCGGTAACAACGTAGAACTTCGTACGTACGTACGTACATACATCAGTTCGAGTTGCCATACGACATTACCACACAGATACAGTTGTCGATTCAAATCCCATAGTGGTAGAGGTATTTATTTATTATTTATTTATTTGGACACATGAATATTGGTACAGGGGAGCGCCAATATATATGCGCCACACAAAACAATGAAAATTCGAGAGGAATACAAAGAAAGAAAAAAAAAGCTAAGGAGCGCAACAAAAAAAAGAGAGAACAATAACGAAGAGATTGGTGTAAGGTAATGTGCTAGTAATCAGGGAACGCAAAGGTACAATCGGAAGAAATCTTTCAGGTAAGGGAGACAGAGCCACTTTTTATGAAGAAAGTAAAAGAAGGTTACAGCAGGATCGCCACTGGCTTCTATTCTGAGCCATATCTGATAACGTCTCTAGCCACTGTGTAGCACCATCTCTCAGACCCCAACCAGGAAGTCGTGAAGAACCAACACAAGCCAGTCCTTTGCAGCTTTCTTTCATGCCACGACACCATGTCATGCACTGACCACCTCTCTGCTTCTTCCAACCAGTCCCAGAGTCGGCAAATAATGCACGACGTGGAATTCTCTGGGACGACATTCGGAGAACATGTCCAAGCCACCGAAGTCGGTGTTTCAAGATGGTGACACCAATTGAGTTATCATCTCTGTGCCCGAACACACGATGCCGAACCTCTGCATTACTGATATGGTGTTGCCACTGAATGTCAGCAATCCTTCGGAGACAGCGATGATCGAACACAAGCCCCCGAATGCCCCGGTCTGGCCGAGAGTGGGGTGAGTCCGCTCTCCCTCTCGAAATACTCTCACACGGCCGCGCGTATACAGCCTCTGCCAGGGAAGTCCTACTCATTGCCTTCTCGTGGCGGGGGTGTTGTTTACAAAAATGAGAGGACGAAAAGCGAATGTCCGGCGCTTTAACCGGATCACAAACCAATGGTGCACATGGGCTCCAGTATCCTGCGGGAACAAATGGAGTATGAACCAATCTTTGGTCACCGGCTACCATGGGATTGCATCTCCTTACGATGCTCCACTGCCTTGTGGGTTAGACCTTTAGGTCAAAGGCTCGGGGTGTGGCCCCCTAAGAAAACCACCTGCTTCGGTTTGGGCACCCGGGCAGTATCACAGCCCACACACAAACGATGAACTCTATGTCTTTGGCAACTACTTTTATCGCTCCGAAAAACAAAGTGGTAGAGGTAGTAAAGGTATAAGCTGTGATAGGAAAGATTAGGGTTTGAAGATATTATTCAAGGAGTATAATACAGTGAAATAAATTTGGAAAGAGAAAAAAGAATGGACATGAAGAATTCAGAAGATTCATAGGCTACGGGCTTAGGATATCTTCAAATGTATGCATATTTCAAATAAATAATCAACGTGATTTTTTTTAAACTGTTTTGATCTGATCACTCTCACCACTACTTTTTTCACCTAATGATATTCTTAACAGTATAATAAGTTGAAGTAGCTAATGGATAGACATTTGAGACTTATGTGCTTCGATAATATTATCGATTGATATGTTCTATAAAATTTGCATTTTCGTAACGTATCTGTTCATAGACTATAAACCATACTATTGTATTAGGAATGTTATAATTAACTACAACATTTTTTTACATTAGTTATTATAGATGAATCTTATATTGTATTAAATAGCAGGAGGTATAAAGATCAAGGAAACGAAAGTCATCCTATATATAATTAAACACTAATATCAAGTATTGCTGGTGAGCGGCCTATGCTCCTTCACGAGGAGTAACAGGCGTAAGTAAGTAAGTAAGTAATACCAAGTATATCATTGTATTATTATCATTATTAGTGTAATACTGAACTCATAGAGAATGTTCTGTTTAAAGTTAGCTATCATATCACGAACTGACATCATTTGGATAAGTGTTGGAGAAAGTGTCAATCAACTCAGAATCAAGCCTAACCGCCTTCACACTTGAGAGTGGAAAGCATATTAAATTTATATTATCGCATCTGATGAAATCCAGTAGTTCATATTTTCAACATTCATCACTCTGCCCATATTACAGAACTATTATTCGATCTTACACTAATAATATCTGTTTAATAAAATGGACGAACCTCAGTACGAGGGTTGTGTATATATCGTTTTAGATCAAACATCATATCTGTTGACTGATGATACAAGCCGGGTAGTAAAACTGAAATGGAGCAAAATTCAAACATTTAACTATCTGATCAAAAGCCAGGTATATCAGCCAATAAGCTACTGTTATATGAGGAACAAGTCGGTTTATTTCTGTTTGAATTAAGTGCTGACAACATCATCCTCAAACAAGACGATAACAACAGGAAATATTCATTGAAATTATGCACTTTCTTGTTCTTTGCATACATTCACTTAAAGTAAAATTCACATGATTCTCAAATCATGAAAATAAACAAGAGGAAATAATAACAAATTAGAGTGGAAATATACATAGACAAGTAAGATATAATGCATATTAATTACCGGGAGTAGTCGAAATGAATCACTAATTCCACGATTACATAAATAATTATCCAGATAATTCCAATTTAAGATAACTGTTGAATCACTTGTAAAATTAGTGTGTAATGAAACATAAGATTTTGCATCTGGAACTTGTAATGCATATGAATAAGTGATTTTAATAAGTTTATCTATTTCCCTAAAACAAAGATGAACAAAACAAACAAGATATTTACTATATATTTTTCTGATTCAAATCAACAGTAATATGCAGAGAATATTGGACAGTTCTTTCATTCCAGACTAAGGTAATATGGATGGATCGGAGGTTACAATGACATATAGGGTCAAACTATGAAGTCAATCTATGTTACCATTAAAACGATATATAATAGTCGACATGTTTAACTATAGCCAATCTGTACATATAACTTATTTACTAGTTGGACCACACTTCATGTATGAGGAATAGTGATATCGTCCGGCTGCCTAAACTGATTAGGTGTAGAGGGACTAGAAATCGCGGACTAAGAGTTGAAAGTCAAACACTTTGATCACTAAGCCACTATTTCAAGGGTCAATTTGTAGATATATATATATATATATATATATATATATATGGAAATGATAAAGATCTGTAGTCCAAAAGGGTGGTTTTTGATAAAATTGTGTTCCTTAAACACAAAAGATTGTAATTTCAATAGTTGAGATCATGAGTCCATTCAAGCTAGACCACCATGGAAAGTCTGGAAGCACTGGACGGCCACTTCGTCCTATTGCAGGACTCCTCAGCAGTTTATATCCACGACCCCGCCTCGCGAGATTCCAACCCAGTACCTTCGACTTCGCATGCTAAGGCTTAACCTCCAGACCACTAAGCCGGAATCCAACGGTGTTAATGTCTAGTTTCAACTAATCCACGAAATTCAGCGACACATCCACCATTGTCTCCAGTGAGTTACTATCTCACAACAGACCTGGTTGAACTCCACTGGTCACTACTTGTCACTAGAACTCTGGGAAAATACCTCTTGAAGCCAGCTACTAGTGAGCAAATGTTGATTAATATCAGAAGGGGTTTTGTGGATATGATAGCAGTTTCAATAGTTGAAATCATAAGTCAATTGAAGCTAAACCACTATAGAAAACCTGAAAGCACTGGATGGCAGTTTCGTTCTATTGTGGGACTCTTTAACAGATTGTATTGACGATGGTATCTAAAAAGACAATGAACGATTCATCAGTAAAACTATTCAACTTACCCAGTTACTTGAACCAAATTAGCTGATTCGGGGATTCAAACCTATTACCTAATCCTACAAACCACTATGACTACTGTTAATCAGATGGGTAAAGTTACCTTTAATAATAATAACCAGATAAATATAATAATACAACTAGCTAATAAGTTACATGAACAGTGAAAAAGATAATAACCAAATGGTAATAATTATTATTAGTAGTAAACAAAAGGGAATAGGTATGATATAATAAGAAAGAAATAAACAACAACAATAACAACAACAACAAAAAACAATTATCCTCAACGAACCGATAACTTGTCACACCAATTGAATCTTCATCCAATGAAATTAAATGAAATAAATGACCAATACTTAATTTACGAGTATTTGTTGTCTAAATAGAAAGGGAAATAGAGAGAGAGAGAGGGTAGGTGAATGAGAAAAAAATGAGGGGAAAAACTGATGAAAATACTTTATTTAAAACAGAAATAATTGACTCCTCTATGCAATAACAAAAAACAATATAGAAAAAGTTGTAAACAAGAACCGTAAATAAATTTTGGGATATACATAATAATAATAATAATAATAATAATAATAATAATAATAATAAGTCGTTACCAGTGGAGTACAACCAGGTCTGTTGTGAGATAGGAACTCACTGAAGACAATGGTGTACGGTGGTGCAACTTCGTGGATTGGTTGAAGTTATACATTAACACCGTTGGATGCCGGCTCAGTGGTCTAGTTGGTTAAACGCCTGGCGCGAGACTGATAGGTCCTGGGTTAGAATCTCGTGGGGGGCGAGATCGTGGATGCGCACTGTCGGGGAGTCCCATACTAAGATGAAACGGTCGTCCAGTGCTTCTAGGTTTTCTATGGTGGTCTAGCTTCAATTGACTCATGATTTCAACCAGTGAAATCATAATAATAATAATAATAATAATAATAATAATAATAATAATAATAATAATAATGGTAATAATAGTAGTAATAGACTAATAAGCTTACCAACATCAAACGTAGATGATAAAAAGACTATGTGCATACAACTAACGATGTAATTCCATAGAGAACAGGAAGAGAAAAGATATACCATACAAAATAATATACACGATAAGTAGATTTAAAAAAATAAACCAATTTGACGATACAGTAGTTACTTATACAAATTACAATTACCTACATTACTATATATGAGGATACTGATGTTGCTACTGATAATGATGACAAATATCCATTGAGATTTTTGTTTAAGTGATTAATACACAGTGAAATATGGAAAATGGTTTGCCATTTTATTTATTTTTTTTAACGTTTATATGATCTGATATTGCAACATTTAGTGTCCAAAATACATATGGGATACATTAACCTCTTCTTATTATGGATTGATTTCTTAGCTGATCCTTAGACTGTAAGAGTCTTTGATCAGTTATAATTTGTGCTGATATTTTGTCAGATATTATCCTGTTAAGGTCGATGATAAGCAAAGCATCCGACGTGGTCAATTACTTCATTCTATATCACTAGTTTAAGCACTTAAAAAGAATAATCTTCGATATTTAACTTGTGAATGGAAATTGTAAGAGTAGAAAATATTCAAAAAAGTTTCTCCTTCAAAAGATAATTTTTATAGGGAAAACAATGGTATATATAGGCAATCCTCAAATTGTAGGGTACTTGGAGAACATAGAATGAAATTAATAACACGTTTGGAGATTTCTCAACAAGATTTGAGTTATACATTAAACTTTTTACGGAAGCTTTCAAAGGATTTTGACACTTCACCTAGCTTCTGGAGAACTTTTCAGGGAATTACAGACGGCCAACAACAATTTCCTGAAGTACGACTAACCAAATGTATATAGGAGATCGTCGACTATGGGCTAAAACTCAATTGTGGGGGTGGATAAAACGGTTCAGTTGGTCCTCATCTTGTTTAGTACACAGAGCAACTTTGATACTTATTTATTTTAACACATAGATATTGGTACAAGGAGGCACCAAATACATATGCGCCACACAAGTCTCATTTGATATGTGTGAGGGCTGTGATACTGCCCGGGTGGCCAAACCGAAGCAGGTGATTTTCTTAGGGAATCACACCCGGAGCCTTCGACCTGAAGGTCTGATCCACAAAGCAGTGGAGCAACATGAAAAAATACAGTCCCATCGTAACCGGTGACCAACAATAGGTTTATACACCACTTGTTCCTTCAGGATACTGGAGTCCATGTGTACCATTGGATTGGAATCAGGGTTTTCTAACTCTCCTAGGCGGATTTTCTGTGCCCACCAACCCAGTTAAAGCGCCGGACATTCGCTTTTCGTCCTCTCAATTTCGTAAACAACACCCTCGCCACGAGAAGACAATGAGTAGGACTTCCCTGGCAGAGGCTATATACGCTTGGCCATGTGGGAGCATTTCGAGAGGGAGAGTGGACTCTCCCCACTCTCGGCTATACCAGGGCATTTGATACTACAAACATGAAAATGTCGAATTATGACCAATGATGGACAGTAATAGTGATTCAATAATCTTAACTGAATACCTAGATAGCATAGCACCTATCAAACAACTAGATAACATAGAGTGGATGCCAAATTCACCATATTACGAAACTCATACAGTGAAAATAAGTCAGTATTTGATCAGAGCTTATTGTTCGAGGAATTTCATAAGTTATAAATAAATGAATAATAGAATTTGTATGAATTTTCATTGAAGGGAAATAGTACTTTGTCTATTACAACGATAAAGATGAAATTATGATCAAAATGTAAAGGGGTAGATTGAATGTTGCATTATATCGAGATGACCTATATTATCCACACTGACTCATATAAAAAAATATGAGAAATGTTGTTTTCAATTAGATCCTCATCAGACTTTACTCTCATATATATGAATATTTATACTAATGCATGAAAATATTGAACCCATCAAGGTAGTCGATGAGTCAATAATAACAGTAACGGTCATTACACTATCGATATGTACTTTTTACTACTAATGTTTATCAGAAGGGGTCTGTGGAGATTTTTTAGAAATTTTCAGATTGAAATCATGAGTCAGTTGAAGCTAGAACACCACGGAAAACCTGGAAGCACTGGACGGCCGTTTCGTCCTAGTATGGGACTCCTCAGAAGTGCGCATCCACGATCCCGCATCACGCGGGATTCGAACCCAGGACCTACTGGCTTCGCGCACGAGCACTTAACCATTTGACCACTGAGCCGGCATCCAACGGTGTTAATGTCTAACTTCAACTAATCCACGAAGTTGCGCCACCATATACCAATGTCTTCAGTGAGCTGATATCTCACAACAGACCTGGTTGTACTCTACTGGTAACGGCTTCCCACTAATGTTTAATTACTCTATTTCGTCATTATCACTGATTCACTAATTGTTTCGATTGGTTTAATATTTTTATATATCCATATCAGTATTTATGTATATCATTATTCGCGTATATCAACTTAATGAGGATCTCATTAGGAACAATAGTTTACGCTTATTTTTTATTGTTCTTTTATGTCAAAGATTACTAGCTATTATATTGTACAGATCAACAGGAAACTGTATAGTGAAACAAAAGCCAAGTTTCGCTTAGATCACTGAAGTTAGAAATGTAGAATGCTGGATGTAAATTTGATGGTCTTAAAGTCAAGCATTCGTCCAGAAGCCTAAAGATCCTAGGTTCGATCTCTTAATTGGGTCGTGGATGTGAGTTTCTGAGAATTTCCATACTAGGACGAAATAGCCATTAAGTGCTTACTAGTTCTCAGTGCTACCCTAAATAAAGTTAGTCCGTGATGTAAGACTAAAGAAAATATTTGAACTTCGTACTGACAAAAGCACTGCTTACATGTATCATCGCACATAATTCCTTATTGATAAGCAAGGGATGAACTATGTGATAAAACTCAGTTACTTAGATCATTATCATTAAATAACGCACAAGAACTCAAGTAGTTTCATTTTTGAATGAATCAATAGAAATAAGCAAACTAGAATTAGTCGACGTTTATATGCAACTGTTCTCTTGTATATTTAATATGGAGTGAAATCCATAAACTTTATCATTTATCGAGTATACATTAGTGACTACAACGTACAATGACTCTATGCACTTAATGAGATTCGAAAAAATATACCAGTTTCTATGAAAGCTTAAAAATTACCCTGAGATTCATATATTTGTCTATGAGTCACGCATCAAGTGTAAAGGGTAGTGATACCATACGGGTAATTTGGCCAAAGAAGATAGCACGTGGGTTCAAAACTTTGATTGAATGGTTGAAAGTTGAACACCCTAACCACTGAGATACTGCTCCAAGTAAACTATTTGGATCATTCAAACACATCCTACTATACAATAAACATGTGATGTGATAAACTTATAATCATGTGTAAATTAGATAAATAAGTTAGAAAGAACTGCTACGATGTTGATGGAAATCTGATGAGAGTAGAAAAATTCCATAAATATTTGTCTTCATGAAGATTGAACTTATGATTGGTGTAAGAGTTATAACTAATGAATTTATAATTCACTAACCAACTCCTTCCCACACACCTGATAACTTTTTTTGTTTTTTAACACATGTTACTATTTCATTTTTGTATTGGTTGATTGAATCTTCCCATTAATGTTTAGGACTGAAATCGGTCAGTCTCTTATTGGCACATGTGTATCCTGTGAGGATTGTCTCGATATTGCTCTAAATCACAAGCAATATCAGCAGAGATGGATGGATGGATGGTGGCTAGCAATAAAATCCAGGACGCGCATTTCTTCCTGTTTGGGACTCGTTAGCTGGATGTACCTACATCCCAAAGTTGATGTTACTACTGCTGTAAAGCAAATGACTTAACATACTATATTCATGACTTATTGGAATCTTAAGGTAACTTACCAATGAATACTGAGAATTTATTTCAATAATTTAGTTAAAGAGATGTTAAGAACTTTGGTTTAATTTGTAAGTTGGATTCATTACGGATTGATCTCATTCTGAGTACTATCGAAAATCAGGAATGATTGAAAACCTATTTCGTCCTAATATGAGACTTATCAGCAATGAACATCCAAGACTTTGGCAGGGACCCAATTCATGACCTTTACGTCCCACGAGCAATGCTTAACTATTGGAATCATATGATTGGCGTTTAATTTTACCATTTCAAACTCAACCAAATTAAGATACAGAACGACGATTATCCAATTCTATTGCTGATAACTATTTCATTACACAAAACTAAGAGTGTTCCATTATTATTAATGATAACTTATTAATTACACAGAAACTGATATATTCCTGTTTCGTTTGTCAATATGAACTTTGTAATTCAGTTAGATAAAAAAAAATAAATAAATTTAGATAGTAACAAAACATTGATTTTTCAACAACAACAACAACGACAACTACAACAAAAATGGAAACCACAGTGATCAGAATGCAGTGATTAGAATAATGTGTATTTGTGTGCTTAGTACACCATTGATAACTATGAAAGTTGAAAGTAGTTTCAAATTTCAATTTCAAACTAAGTAGACCTAAACATATATACAGATACTTCAATTAAGAACTATTGTTAAACACAATCATTTGAGATATTTATTTTCAAAATAATGAATAAAATAATAATATTTAGATCATCAAAGTTAGAATGTTCAGCACAAACGTGAAGACAGTTCTACTGTACGGAGTTGAAACGTGAAGAACTACTACAACCATCATCAAAAAGGTAAAAGTATTTATAAACAATTGTCTACACGCGATACTGAATGTCCCATTGACTGGATACTATCAACATCAATCCACTATAGGAGAGAACAAACCAACTTCCATCTGAGGAGGAAATTAGGAAACGACGATGGAAGTGGAAAGGAGATACATTACGGAAATCATCGAATTGCATCACTAGGCAAGCGCTAACTTGAAATCATGAAGGGAAACAGAAAGGTGTAAGGCCAAAGAACACAGTGCGTCGAGAATTGGAATCAGACATGAAAAGGATTGTCCAGAACAGGGTTGTATGGAGAATGCTGGTAGGTAGCCTATGCTCCTCCACGAGGAGTAACAGGCATAAGTAAATAAGTAACTGAAGAAAAACAATCAAGCATTAAAGGTATTTGATAATTTATTGTGTATATTGATTTATTCGTATTATTCTTTATCTTAGCAGATAGAGCATTTAATCCTTATCAAAATCTTTATCTATATAGATGTTCCATTTAAGAAAATCACGAACTGATAATTCAAGTATATAAGAATAGTTGAGAGATAATTTTAAATTAAGTTACTGTATGAATTAACAGTAATCTATTTCATTTACTAATTACAAGTATGGTTTACTCGGATTAAAGTAAAAAATATTCTTAACTAACAGCACAGATAATAATAGAATACACTAGCCAAAGTATACTGAGGAAGGTAAGGACTTAGGAATTAATAATTAAAAGCCACTACAATGCTCTGGTACGACCGAGATTGGAGAGAGTCAACTCTCCCTCTCGAAATGCTCTCACATGGCCACGTGCATACAACCATTCACAGGGGAAGTCCTACTCACTGCCTTCTCATAGCAGAGGAGTTGTTTAAGAAATCGAGAGGACGAAAGCGAATGTCCGGCCCTTTAATCGAATTGGTGGATATAGAGGACCCACCTAGGGGAGATGGAAAACCCTGATTCCAAACCAATGGTGTGCATGGGCTTTAGTATCCTGAGGTAACAAATGGCTACCATAGGACTGCATCTCCCTACGTTGCTCCACTGCCTTGTGGATTAGACCTTTATATCAAGGGCTCCGTCCGGTTGTGGCCTCCTAAGAAAACTACCTGGATCAGTTTAGGCACCCAAGTAGTATCATAGCCCACACACAAATCAAGTGACTCGTGTGGCGCACATGTATTCGGCACCTCTTTGTACCAATATTTTATGACCAAATAAATAAAAAAGTTAAAAGCAAGGTGATACGATTAATAGTTTACCATTCTGTATTGAATAAACTCCTACATCTGTAACTTTAATAAACAATAATTGAAAGTACTTATGAACAATACGTCTGGGAAAAAATCCAGAACCAATATGTACATGTATACATTCATATATCATTAGTAGTGAGTCACAAAACAACTAAATTATACAATATAAGATGTACTACATAATTATCAGTCAATATTTATGAATAAGTTGAATAAATACTATCACACATAGTGATTTGGGGTATAAACAATACAACTACCACTTTACATTTCAAATGACGCCTAATATACAACTAGACAAATGCAGTATATTCAGAACATCTGTGTAGAATACTATTAATGGTTAAGAAAAAACAAAAAGAGAGAGAGAGAGAGAGAGGAGAACTTGAGATAAAAAATGGGCCAAAATTGAAGTTTAAGCCCTTTCTTGTAGATTACAGGCGTCTAAAGGAGATAGGTTAAATGTTATCCAGTCTCACTATTAAAAGTCAATCAATCAAAGAAAAGTAGAACCTGGTAGATAAATGTATCGGTTCAGTTTCATTTATTTATAATATACAAATCAATAAACTGAATTCATAGTTTGAATCACAAACTGACATTAGGTATATCACCACTGAAAATCTAGAAGTATTAGGTAGCCATTTGTCCTGGAATATGTTTCTTCAACAATGTACTGTGGTGCGAGATCTGACTACGATTTGGATGGATATATGAACGTACTATGAACATAAATCCTCTATTTATTAACTAAGCTAACCCAGTTTGTGTGACGACGGTAATGAAAAGCCCAATACGGGTTACGTTGGATGAATTTATTTCAAGTACACTTTTATCCAGACAGACATTTAGAATAAAAAGAGGGAAAGCGAAATGAAGCGGAGGTGATTTAGCCAATTCAGTCCCATAAAGTGTGGCTCAATATTTATAACCAGACAAAAATAATCTATAGACTTGTGATGAGTAGGATACGCAATACAAGCACACATAAAAACAGTCAAGGTTAATAAACGAATAACTCACAAGGTCAACATGTGGGTCAAGAAGAATGAATAAACTGGTCTTTCCAGAAGCTAGAACAACTCATGCGAGCTTGACATCGTACCAGACACTACAGTACATCCGTGACCCCATATCCTGTCTCATGCGTGAACGCTTAACCTATGGACCACTGTTAATGTAAGTTGGAACAAAGAATTTCTACAATCTTCACAAATCCGCCTGTACATAGTCATTATCAAAAATTTTACAATCATGGCTTCCCATGAAATCATATTAACATGACGAACAAATTTGCCCGTTTGTTGGCTAACAAACATGCAAATGATTAGATTTCGTTCAGCACACAGTTTTCATACTGATCAGTACAATAGAATAATCAGTGAATCATCATTACACAGATTTAAAAGTACTTTTTTTAATAAATAGACAAGACTTGAGGTTAAAGACACAATTACAAAGTGAAAGATTATGCTTTGATTTAAGATTTCGCTTAGCTTTTTTAAAACAAAGATATCTAGGCTGAGATTATCCCCAATGTTTTCAACATTTATTAAATTTGCTAAATATGGGATATGCGGTCAATTTATCACTAATTTAGTTGTTTACAGAATGTACAGATAACTTGGTATTTGGTATTTGGAAACGGAGAATCAGATGATGTACGTAAAAAACAAAGCCGATAATGATACACTAGTAAACTCATTTCCGTAAGTTAATAATTGTCATATATCAGATAAATATATATAATAAATACAAAAGCCCAAGCTACATATTACCCTAAATGAAATTCACACTCAATTCTTAAAATAATACTTTCTGTATAAACATCATAATCAGTCAGCGACAACGTAGAAATTCGTACGTACGTACATCAGTTCAAACTGTTATACCACATTAGCACATACATACAATTATCGATTCAAATCACATAGTTGTACAGGTAGTAAAAGTAGAAACAGTAATCGGAAACATTGAAGTTTGAAGATGTTATTCAAGAAGTATAATCCAGTGAAATAATTTTGGACAGAGAAAAAAGCAGACATGAAGAATTCATAACATTAGAATTTGGGAGAACACAAAGAGTGGATACACCTGAGTCATTGCAAACGATTTTGAGCCATGTCATTCAATGTCTCTAACCATCGGTTGCTATCATCTCACGGATCACAACCACATAGTCTACACCTACGACCATCGCTCACTACACTTCTCAGTCAGTTCATGGATTTGTGCCATCTTTCGGTCTGGCCACCCCTTTCCCTAGCTTCCTTTCATCCTACACTATTCTATACCATAAAATATTGCACGTCGGGGTAGTCGGTGATTGGGCATAAGTAACACGTGTCCCGGCCATCTCAAATGATCAAGTTTCACTACTTCATCAATTGATTTGCCATCCTTACATAGTTACTACCCGTCTCCTAACAACTCCATTACTTACTCGGTCGTCCCACCATATACGAGCAATGCTTCGAAGACACCTATGATGGAATACTGGTAACCTACGAACATCCTCTACTCTTACCGATCATGTTTCACTGCCATAAAGTAGGACGGAACGAACTGATGAGCAGTAAACACATCCTTTCGTTGGCAGAGGGATATCTCGCATACACCATAAATCACGCAAGTTGGAAAAAGCTAGTCGAGCCTTCTCTATCCGTGTTCAGATTTCGTCACATACCAGAACACATGGGCTGATGAGATTCACAAGATAAGTGAAGTGGTTGACACGCTCAACTACTTCACTTCCTATCATTAGTTCGGGTGTCGATGCAACTCAATCCTGAAGTAACATTTTGCACTTCGAGGGAGAGAACCGCATCCCGAACATGCTTGCATTGTTGTTTAGAGTGGTCAGAAGACTGCATTTTGTCAGCGTCTTCACCAAATAGAACTATGTCATCGGTATATTCTAAGTCAATAAGTAGAAATAAAATGAAATGTAATACTGAATACAATAACACACTAAAGATAAAACAAATATTACATAGAGCAATCATCATATTGAATTAAAAACCTAAATAATATAGAACAAAATTCACGAGTAAAAGAACTAACCGTTACTAACTGATATTGACATGTTAGTGAAGCATAGGTTGACATATTGAAAGAAAAACGAATTATAATAGAGGTTGGAGTTAAAAATGAAATGCTTGCTGAAAATAACATCATAAGTTGTAATAAGTGGAACGATAAGATAATGCAGAAATGACAGCAACAACAACAACAACACATAATAGAAATTGGAAAAGTTGTGAATAATCTCAGCCAATATAATGTACAACTTTCCTTAGATTCAGTTTGATGTGATAACTATGATCTCTATATTTTAAATAAAAAAAGCTAATCTATCATCATCACCAAACCACCTTTCTGCATTAGATTATGTCTGTTATTTCAATTCAGACGACTTAAAAGTATTTATGAACACTACAGATACAAAATGTAAATAGAGCACTCAATATAAAAGCATAAGGGTTTTAACAGGTACACATATACGGTTAACATGGTATATATATATATCACTTATAATGAGTCACACAATAATAGAGTTAAGTATTCTACCATGGACTACGTGATTATCAGTCAATATTTGTGAATAAGTCACATTGAATAAGTTGAATAAATACTATCACACATAGTGATTTGAAAGTTAGGGGCGGCCAAACCAAAACGTGGCATCAGTGCTTGAAGTCACTAACTTCTAGTCTGAGCCATGTTGGGAGATGCAGACTACTTGGTTGGGGTCCGCGTGACTACCGTAACCAATGGCTGGAGACTCTTGGTGACATGGCTCAGAATCGATCACAATGGCGTTGGTGTATACACTCTCTGTCTTCCCTTAAACTAAGAGATTAAAATCGCTTCATATCTTTCTTTCTATGAACTAATTTTTTCTTCCCGTACTATATCCTTATTGCAATCTTTCTCTTATATCTTACCACCTTTGACCCAACCACTGCTATGAATCCGGTGTTCATCTTGTTGTGCTGATGCGGTATGGTAACCTGGACCGATGCACATATGTGCCTGGTCCTACATTGTAGCTGACTGACTGACTGAGTGATTTGAAGTACAAACAATACAACTACCACTTTACATTTCAAATGACGCCTAATATACAACTAGACAAATGCAATATATTCAGAACATCTGTGTAGAATATTGTTAATAGTTAAGAAAGAATGAGAATAGCGGTTAATACTTTCCATTTGAACACCATCTCGTAGAGAAAAAAGATTTAAAGACATTTCCAGTGAAGTTCTAATTCCAATCATATTATTATTTATTAAAGATGTACATTCGAATGAATTCTTAATGCATCTTAGTAGATAATCTTAATATAAACGTACGTTCAGTATCAAATACAGTATATCAGAAAAACACCACATACACACATTTAAATAGAATAGAAGTCAATCCAGTAGTCTAGAAGCTAAGCGTTCGCTCGAGACTGAAGCTATTGGGTCTGAGTCCCCCATGGGGATCGTGGATTAGCACTGATGAGGAGTCTCATACACAGACGAAAGAGACATCCAGTGCTTTCAAGTTTTCAGTGATGATCCATGATTCTTAATAGACAGAATTTTTTTATTTTTTTCAAAAAAAAGTTAAAAAATTGAGAATAAATAGTTACAGGTTACTGTAAAAATGTGAACAATACAGAACATCTTAGCTAATACAAAAAAGGTACAATGGGTAACTTTCGTTACTTAATTAATACCAAAGTTTTGAAAATGTATACATGTTACATAGAATAGTACTATCAGTGGACTTAGTAAAACAATTTCTACATACTTTTAACCAATCTACAATAGTGTAGCAACTTGGTTATGCAAACTTACGTGTAGGAGGAGTGACGTTCAAGTTTGCTTAATCTATTGACTGAATGTTATGCATCTGAAATCACTTCGCTTACTACACGACTTAGTGATAATTATTATCATTAATAATATCGAAACTTAGTTAATTTACTACAATTTGACGCTTTCCCAAACTTATCTCCGTAATATCAGAAATAACAAATGAAATCATGTTTATTTGTAGAAAAAAAAGAATCATCTTTATATTCTAGAAAAAAAAACAAAAGAGGAGTACTAGTATGAGTAGGAGTAGTACTAACAGCAGTGTAATTTTCATCTTGTTTAAATAATAGTAGTATAAGTATATGGAACATATCTGTCATATATATATATATATCCTTTAAAAACTTTGGTTTTTAGCCGAACAAAAAAATGATTGACACAATGACCTTTGGAAATAAAGGGATAAATACATGGCTTGTAGTTGAATCCCTTAAAAATAGTATTTACAGTCAGCACATACACACACACACACATGCATAAATATGAAGGTGAATTTGATCAAATACAGGGTTTATTATTATTATTATTATTATTATTATTATTATTATTATTATTAGTAGTAGTAGTAGTAGTAGTAGTAGTAGTATTTAGCTGCATCGATTCTTGACATAAATTCGTAATTATCGCTTTATCGCTAGGTGTACTGCTACATGCATCCTCTCCGGTATCAACAGATGTTGATGCTGGTCCAATAGAAACATCATCTGTTGAAGTAGCAGCATTTACACGATTTGATGATAAATTAATTGGTATTGGCCAACCATATGATATTTCTGGTATATGATGATTTGGTGAATGTTGCAATAATAATAATGATGATGATACAGATGTCGATGGACATCTTGTAAATTTTGTATCAAGAAATGAACGATGATTATGATTATACTGATGACGAGAACGTCGTGATGAACGTACTGATCGTCGATCAAGTGATGGGAAAATATGTCTTGTTTGTTGTAATGTTAATGGTGTACTATCTTCAAGACCACTGTCTGCAGGACTAACAGGTTGAGTAACAGCATGACGTTTTAAACTGAAACATGAATTACACATTGGATGAAAATCGGCATATTGAAATAATTGATTACCTTTATTTAAATCCATACAATTAAATGAATAAGGAGAAAGTATTCGTGAAGAACCATCTATATTCATAGCAGGTTTATAAGTATTAAAATCTGATGTTAGGTGAGCTTTTTGAAATTGTTGTTGTATTTGTTCACCATGATGACGATGATGGAATTCATTAGTCATCATATCAGATGTGTAAGATATTTGTTTATTTAAACGATTATTTAAATAACGTATACAATAGATAATAGCAAATACAATTGTAAAAAATACTACACATACAAGAAAGACTATTATGCAAAGAATAATCCATGAATTCATTGAAGGGTTTATTATACTATTACTACTACTAATCATATTATTCTTTTGATTATGGTTATGTATATTCATAGCATGTATACTATCTTGATTGGAAACAGGCCAATAAACAGAATTAATTGATATTGATGTAGTTCGTACATGTGTTGTACCAAGTAATGATGGATCACTACCACCACCACCACTGGTACTAGTACTAGTAGTACTATTGATTGTATCCGTTAGTCGATTAGACTTAGTAACAACATCATGATTTGTAATCAATTTCGATTGAGAATTATTATTATTATTATCATCAATTGATATTGGACATAATTGTAATGTTGATGGATGAATACGAAATCGATTATTATTTAACCAATTATAATCTATACATTTTAACCAATTCTCATTATGATTTAAATAAACATCAGTTAAACTATCACAATAATTCCAATCAAATAAAGGTAATTTTAATAATGTTGATTGATTTCTATGATATGATATAGAGTCAATATTTTCTAAATAAATAGTTGTTAATAATTTAGGACAAGAATTTGTAAACCACCATATAGTCGACGACGGCGGTGATGTCGACGACGACGACGCCGATTGACTAGTATTATTTAATGATAAAGGTATAGCTAATGGATTTCTTGATAAAATTAATTGTTTTAAATTAGGTAATATTGTATTAAAATTTGGTACAGTTAATAATAAACTATGCATTCTTAATTGATTCCCTTGTAAATTTAATACTTTTAAATAAGATAAACCATAGAATACATTAGATGATAATGAGATTAAATAATTATTAGCTAAATTTAAATACATTAAATTTGTTAAACGTATAAATGTATAATCATTTAAATGAATTAAATGATTCCCGCTTAAATCTAAATTAAATAATGTTTTATAATGTTTCGGTATACCCCAACTAGCTAAATTAATTTGATAGAATTGATTTAAACTAAGATCTAAGGATTGTAATTGATTTAAATTAGCTAACCAACCAATATGTAAACCATAATCAGTAAGATTATAATTACGACGTATTTCTAAATGTATTAAATTATTAGCATGAATTTCATCGAAAAATCCTTGACTTATTATACGTAAACTAGTTTGTTCAATAGTGAAACGTAATAATTTTAAAGTATAATGATTAGATGTAGTACTAGTGGTAGAAATAGTAGTGGGTATGGTGAAAAAATAATGACGAAATTCATTAGAATCCAATTGAATTAAACCATCATATACATTAGATTGACCAACAATAGCTAATCTTTCTAATTCTAATATACATTTTGATTGAATACGTTGTTTAATATGATTTGATGATGATGATGATGATACTAATAGACTTGGCCATGAATTTTCAGTAAGTTGAATTTTTAATTGACGCCATAATGGTAAGCATAATGTATGATTAGGCCATACAATTCCATCATTATTATTATTAGTAGTAATAGTAGTATAATCATTTATTATATCAAATCCACAATGTTTAATATCAGATGGATAATCATTTGTGATGAATTGTGATAATCTAGTTTGATTTATAAGACAACAAATGACTGCTACTGTATTCAATTCATTACTATTATTAGTATCCTCATTATTATTATTATTAGTATTAATGGAACATTTACATCCTGATAGACAATTTGAAGATTGAGCAATTATCCATGGAATAAATATTAAACATAAAATAGATCCATTAAATTGAAGAATTTTTATGAACTGTATAAAAAATGACCACATAGTAGTAATAAAGGAATAATATGATTACATAACTGATTAATCACCATTGATTGATTGATTGATGGATGGATGAATGGATAGAAGTAACTTTTGTCAATTAACAAT